TTGAGCCGCCCCCCAGATTCTATGCATCCTTGCACCCACCTGTCCACGCTCCCCACTGGGAACAACTTGTTCTCACTTCCCTTCACCTCCGCTCTGCTCCTTCCCCTAGTTCTCAACCACTAACCCCTGATACATAAACTCTATTACCCATTCCGTGCGTGGTGTGTGTCTGTGGTGTGTGTGTGTGGTGTGTGTTTGTGGTGTGTGTGTGTGGTGTGTTTCTGTGGTGTGTGTGTGTGGTGTGTTTCTGTGGTGTGTGTCTGTGGTGTGTGTCTGTGGTGTGTGTCTGTGGTGTGCGTCTGTCAGGTTGTGGGTGCCATTCGCTTCGCACTGCACCCTGGAAGGAGGAGAGTTCCCACCGCTGCTGCTGCTGCTGCTGCTGCTGCTGATGCTGATTCTGCTGCCACTGCTGCTGCCGCAGCTGCTGCTTATGCTGCTGCTGCTGCCGGTTCTGGTGCTGATGCTGCTGGTGCTGCTGCCACTGCATCCCCGCTCACTGCCTCTCCGTCAGGTGGTGCGGTAGAGGAGGAGTGGCAGGGTGGGGCAGAGGGGGCGCAGTGGAGGCGAGAGCATTCGCAGCGCCTGCTGACGCCGCTGCAGCTGGCCTTCGCAGTGGAGGTACGAAGGAATCGTTGAAAAGAATCAGAATCCTTTCACTGTGGCACCACTGCCAGCAACATACAGCGTTGGAAAGAATTTAGCAGGTGGTTGGATTCTCATTGCTTTGGGGTCTCCGTTTCCCGTTTATGCGATTCTCTCTCACCCCTTTCTTACCTCTCTCTACTCCTTATTCTCCCTCTGGGTTACCCTTTGTGCCGCTCTTGCTGTCGCCCTCTCCGCTGCTCCATTCAAACCCCCACAACCCCCAACCCCCATAATTGTAAAAGCTCATCTCACCTTCCCCGCATGCATTCCCCACCTGCTTTTCCTCCTCGGTGTCCGCTCGCCCGCACCCCTCTCCCTTCACCACCCCCTCCCCTCCCTTCCCCCCCCCCCACGCACACACAGAGCACGGAGCTGCTGGCAGCAGCAGCAGGGCAGCTTCGATGGCGCTACTCGCTGAGCGGGGAGGGCGGGGAGGGCGACGTGCAGCGGGGAGGGCAGTACGCCTTGCCCGCCAACGTGGCCATCATATCCTTGCAGGAGCTCCAACCAGACTGCCTTCTGCTGCGCCTGGCGCATCTCTATGAGGTCACTTGCTTGTTGATTGAGAGTTTTCTCGAAGTCCAATCATCATCAATGCTGCGCCTCGCGCATCTCTGTGGGGAGGACAGTTGAGGAGTCTTTTTTCCAGGCGCCTCAAGACTAGACATCTACTCGCGCGCATCTCTGTGGGGGTCAGTTGGTTGTTGCTTTTCAGTCGACCCAAAAACAGTTGAGGAGTTATTCTTTAGGCGCCTCAAGAATAGACCTCTACTCGCGCATCTCTGGTGGGGGTCAGGTGGTCGTTGCTTTTGAATGTCTCGAAAGCCAACTCATATCCATGCAGAGGCGAGCACCAACCTACCTGCTGCTGCGACTGGAGCGTCTCTATGAGGCAGGCATCAATCTACTGCTTCCCTTCATGCTCCTCACCCATCTCTCCCCCTTTGCCTCCGCTGAGCCTTTCCTTCCTCTCTTACTCTTTACCCCGTTTCGTGTACCCCCCTTCCACCCCCTCTCGCCCGCTCACGCACTCTCCCTTTGATCCCACTCCCCGCTTATACCACTTGCTATCTGGCCCTCGCTCGTTCCATCCGCTTTGCTTGTGCTGCATCCCCGTGTCCCCCAACCCGTTTCGCTTGCCCCTCTGCCGTGCACCGCCTCCCCCGATCCTTGCACATCAGGCCAAGGAGCACCCCTCTCTCTCCACCGTGGCCCAAGTGCCTCTCCGACAGCTCTTCACGTCCAGACAGGTGAGAGTGTGTGTGTTTGTGTGTGAGCGCTGGCGTGCTTTTGAGTCGACTCAAAAAGTGCCTCTCTGACAGCTCTTCACGTCCAGACAGGTGAGTGTGTGTGTTTGTGTGTGAGCGCTGGCGTGCTTTTGAGTCAACTCAAAAAGTGCCTCTCCAACAGCTCTTCACGTCCAGACAGGTGAGTGTGTGTTTGTGTGTGAGCGCTGGCGTGCTTTTGAGTCGACTTAAAAAGTGCCTCTCCAACAGCTCTTCACGTCCAGACAGGTGAGTGTGTGTTTGTGTGTGAGCGCTGGCGTGCTTTTGAGTCGACTCAAAAAGTGCCTCTCCGACAGCTCTTCACCTCCAGACAGGTGAGTGTGTGTGTTTGTGTGTGAGTGTGAGTGTGAGTGTGACTTTCCTTCTCTCCCTCACACTCCCCTCCTTTCTCTCTCCAACTCATACTCCGTTCCTGTCACACTCTTGTACTCTTCTTCCCTCCACCTTTTTCCCACCTCTCAACCCTCTCAGATCGTCTCACTCACAGAGCTGAGCTTGACGGCCAATCAGAAGAGAGCCGACATGCGCCCACCAATGGCGTGGCAGGAGGATCCATCGCCATCAGCGTCATTACAGGGTGCACCGGGGGAGGTGCCACCTGAGAGGCCGGTGTATGGGGGGGAGGTTGATCCACAGCAGCTGGTGGTGGAGCTGGGGCCCTTCGAGATCCGCACCTTTGCTATCACTTTCAAACCGCTCTCTATGTGATGTGGCTGGCTGGTGGCTGGTGGCTGGTACTAGTAGAGTACTGCACCACGGCCAACTTCCTTCCCTTCGCTTCCTTGTTTATTGGCTGCATGTTGCATTGCTGCTTTGCCATGTAATGTGGTGTTTTTCGTTTTTTCTTTTTCTTTTTTGCCAAATGGGTTTCTCCACGTGTTGTCATGTCACTGATGTGTGCCTCACAGCTTTTGCACTGCAGTACAGTATGAAACAAATGTTAGAATGAGAACTGAATGATTGAGTAAGAGAGAGTACAGGTGAATATACCTAAGTGTTGTACCCTCTAAGAGGTGGCTCTATACAGTCTATGCCAACATAACAAATACACATGTTTGACACACCCCCTAGACTGCATAGGGGCATGTCCTGAACAAGCAGCTCAGGGCGGCACTACTAGTCCAGCCTCTGAGACAAGGGTCTAAAAGACCAGTCAAAAGGAGTACAGACAAGGCACGAACAACGCCAGGGCGGCACTACTAGTCCAGCCACTAGCAGATGACACAAGTCCAGTCTGAGTACACATATAAAGGACAGTACAAAGTCAAGGCCCTAGCAAGTGAGAGGCTACAGGAACTAGACCAAGCTGTACACAGTGCCGCTGATGATCTTTAGGCGCAAGCGCCTTCGTAAAGATATCAGCTGTGTTGGCACCTGAGGCCAAGTGTACTACGCGAGCCTGACGTCGCTGCTGTAGCTCGCGCAGGAGGAAGTATCGCAGCTGAATATGCTTCGCTCTGCCCTCGAGTCGAGGCTCCTGACACAAGAGGATCATGGCCCTGTTGTCAGCGAACAGGACCGGGGCAGAGCTAGGCCGCTCACCTAAGTCAGTGAGCAAGAAGGTCAGCCAGCGGAGCTCCTGTGTCGCCATGGCACCAGCGTAGATCTCGGCCTCACAGTTGGACTGGGCAACAGACGAGGAGCGGGTAGCTCTCCATGAGACGGCACTTGAACCAAGGCTGAAGTAGTAGCCCTGGGTAGACCTGAGTGTCTCGGCGTCGTCTGCCCACGAAGCGTCTGTGTGTCCAGTAAGGACCACTGGCCCACGTCCTCCTAGCACTAACCCCATGCCCGATGTACTAGCAAGATAACGCAAAACCCTCTTAGCGGCAGACCAGTGCTGCGGTCGGTGTCTGCCTGTAGCCACAAAGCGAGCCAGGATGCTGAGAGGGTATGCGAGATCTGGGCGAGTGCAAGTCATCAGGTACATGAGGCAACCCACCAGCTCTGCGTAGGGGCCGCTGGGCTCTACCGACTCCTCAGGAACTGGAACGGAGAGTCTGTGGTCTACAGGCAGAGGGGTGGGCTGTGCAGAGGAGAACTGAAGGCCGAACCTCTGAAGGACCTGGCGCACCAAGTGTGACTGAGTCAGGGTGATGGTGCGCGATGCTCTGTCCCTGGAGATCTGCAAGCCAAGGTAACGGCGCAGTTCTCCAAGGTCAGTGCACGTGTGTCTCTTCAGCAGCTCTGCCTTCACTGAGGCCAGTGCGTCCCTTTCTGCTCTGGCAAAGACCAGGTCCTCCAAGTAAACAAGGATGTAGAACGGAGTCTGGCCAGCACGAACGAAGAGTGAGGGGTCTGCGGAAGACGGAAAGAACTGCAGGTCAGCAAAGGTAGCACGCAACGTGTCGTGCCACTCACGGGGAGCCTGGCGCAGGCCGTAGACGGGGCGCCGCAGGAGCCACTGGGTCCCAGGAGGGAAGGTGCCAGTAAAGCCCTGAGGGCGACGCAAGTAGACCTGCTCGTGTAGGCTGCCCTGAAGGAAGGCAGTGGAGAAGTCGAGGGAGTGAAGCTCGTAGTCACGCTGAGCACCTAGGTGTAACAGAACCCGAAGAGTAGTCATCTTCGGGGTCAGAGCGAAGGTCTGGAAGAAGTCCACCCCCTCATGCTGACTGAAGCCTCTAGCCACGTAGCGCGCCTTGAACACAGGCGGCTCTCCAGGAGGGCGCTTCACCTTGAAGAGCCAGCGACCATCGACTACGTTCACCCCAGGCGGGGGAACTGCGTCGACGAAGGTGCCGGTGGATCTCCAAGATGCCATCTCCTGCTCCATGGCAGCTATCCAGTGAGAGGCCCAAGGTCCCGAGGTCGCCTCAGCGTAAGTGCGAGGGGTCGGGATGTCGAAAGCGTCTGGGTCACCCTCAGGGACTAGCAACATGGAACAGAGATGGGGAGCAGCCTCGGACAGGAAAGCAAGCTCGAACTGGCGGTCCTCCAGGACGTCACTGCCGAGGGCAGAAGCACTCCCGACAAACGGAGGACAGGCAGGGTCAGAGACCAGAGCGGTGGCGTAGTCAAGGCGGCGGGTAGAGGCGAAGTCAGCGACCGCAGCTACAAGAGCGTCAAGGCACGAGACCGGAACAGACGGGTCGGTAACGAGAGAGGCAAGGACCCGAGGAACAAGAGGACGAGCGGCACGAAGGTAGTCAGACAGCGGGGGGGGTGCAACAACAAGGGAGGACGGAGGAGGCGACGAAAGAAGGGGAGGACGAGACACGTGGGAACGAAGCAACATAGGGTGGGAGCGCGAGACAGGGGAGGCAGGACGAGCACGAGAGGGACGGTGAGACCAGACGTGCGACGGAGGAGTCGGGTCAGGAGACAGGGGAGGGGACACAGGAGGGGAACGAGGGGGAAGACGAGCCGGGGACGAGTCCGGCGGAGGGAACACAGGCCCGTAGACGGGAAGAGGAGGAGACGGTCGGAGAGGAACAGACGCAGGGTCAGGGGACGGAAGGCCGAGCAGGCGAAGGGCTGACACCGGCGGGGACTGCTGCTGCGGCGGCACAACGCCGACACCTGGACCGCAAGCTGCTCGTTGGCTACCACCGGCACACTCCACACCAGCACCCCTAGAGGGAACACCTCCAGGGCCCGAAACCCCTCGAGGACCGGTACCACCCCCAGGGCTACCGGGACTAGCACGCACTCCAACGCCAGCACCCCCAGAGTCAACGAACGGGTGCTGCGACGGCGGCGGCGGCGGCAGCGACAACGACGGCTGCGGCGGCGGCGCTGGAGGTGACAACGGTTGCGACAGCAGGGGCGACAGCGGCGGCAGAGGCGGTGGAGGAGGGGACGCCTGGGGAGGGGCGGCCGGCGAGGACTGCGCCGCAGGACCACCAGAGTCAGAAGACTCCTCAACCGGGACCACCGATGGAAGAGGGGTGACGTGGGACACACCAGAGGGGGCAAGGACGGGGAGGAGGAGGGGGAGGGGCAGGGACTATCGGGGAAGGAGTGACCAGGAACAGGGGGGGGGTAACCGGGGGACCGCGGTGGGGGAAGCGACGGTAGTAGGAGACGGACTCGTCAAAGGTGACGTCGCGAGAGTGAAAGAAGCGGTGAGACGGCGGGTGGTAGAAGTGCCAGTCGGACGCGTCAAGGGGAAAACCGAAGAAGACACAGGGAAGGGTGCGGGCAGTGAGCTTGTCCATGCCGGAGGCACGGACGTGAGCAAGGCAGCCCCAGACGTGGAACGCAGACGCGTCACCAGGAGACCCAGTCCAAAGACGGGTCGGCGAAACCTGCGGCTGCTGGGGGTGCGGCCACAGGTTAAGCTGGTGAGAAGCGTACCGCACAGCGAACGGCCACATAAAATGGGGTGCACCGGCATAGATCATGGAGGTGCGAGCCACCTCCATGACCAAACCGATGTGTCGCTCAACGACCCCATTCTGCTGTAGGGAGTCCGGCAGGGTGAACGTCTGGGTGATGCCCTCCGCACGACAAAAGCGACCAAGGACACCTGAGGCAAACTCGCCACCACGGTCGGAGTGAAGGCGCAAGACAGGGAGACCTCGGTGGACACGGGCAGAGACAAGCCAGGGGATGAGAGCGGCAGGCACGTCGGCCTTCCGCTCCAGGGGAAAGACCGAGGTGTAGCGAGTGAAGTCGTCGACAAGCACGAGGAAGTAACGCTCTTGACGCGGCCCATGGACGGGGGCGGGGCCCCAGACGTCCATGTGTAGGGTCTGCAGCGGCGCGGCGGTAGGGGGAAACGAGGAGGAGTGAGGGGCACGGCGAAGCCGACCCTCGACGCAAGGCGTGCAAGGTGGGGCTGGGGAGGAGGGAAAAGCGGGGAGAGAACTAGGGAGACCAAGGACGAGACCGTGCTGGGACATGTGACGCAGACGCGGGAGCGCAGGGTGACCTAGGCGGTGGTGCCAAAGGAGAGTCGGGTGAGTGAGGGACCGACAGGAGCAGGCAGCAACAACCTGGGTAGACGCAGCCACCTGAGGGGACGCCCCAGCCAGGGGGGTCACGGTGTCCAGAGTGAACAGGCCGGACACCGGGTCCCGGGGGAACTTGGACAGGGGGGCACCAGTGGCGGCCTCGGTACAGACAGCATACCGCTCGTGACCAGGGAACGTAGTGGTGACGCCACGGTCCTGGAGGCAGCCGACACCAACTAGGTTCCTGGAGAACGAGGGGATATGCAGACCTGTAAGAGAGCCCGAAGGAACCGCCGGACAGGGAAGGGTGGTGGAACTGCGGGTGACTACCGGACCGCCGGAGGGGTCAGCAAGAGAAACGGCAGCAGGAACCGGAAGCGGCGTCAGTGTAGTAGAGTCGCGGAAGAAGCACCGGGAAGCGCCAGAGTCCAAGGTGAACGAAAGCGAAGCAGAGGCGTCTGGCGACGGGGCGACGGCGGAAGCACCAAGGCTAAACGAAGCAGGGGATCCTACGCTTGACGCAGCAGGGGAGGCTAAGCTAGGCACACCTACACTAGACGACAGTGAGTAATAAGCGGGAAGCGCACTAGAGTCATCAGCATACATCACATGCAGAGCAGAAACAATGGCATCCATGTCCATGTCAAAAATCTGAATCCTACGACTAAGGAAACTGTGCCAGTCCGGGAGGTCTGGCGACGGGCCGAAGCGCTGACGAAACAGGTCGTCCAGGCGACGAAAACAGCGGGGAGTGGTATGACCGAGCTTACCGCAAACGAAGCCGCGGCGAGGACCGGTCTGGATCTGGTACTGACAACGCACGCCTCCCGAACCACCACTCGGCACACCACCACGCGCCCGATCACCTCCGGGCGGGAGGACACTCGCCTGCCTTGTCAGCGGCGGCTGCTGCGGCTGCTGCGGAGGCTGCGACTGCTGCGACTGCTGCGGCTGCTGCTGCTGCTGCTGCGACTGCGGAGGCGGCGGCTCAGCTGGATTGGGCAGGGTCCCCTCGTTTGCTCCAGCACCAGACGACCCGACTCCACCACCACCCCCTCCTGCACCCCCGCCTCCTCCGCCGCGCCCAGCCTTGGGGCGGCGGCCCTTCCCTGAACGAAACTGCGCTGCAGCAGCAGTCTCAGCCACAGCGACAGAACCGTCGGAGAAGGTACACTGAGCGGGGGCACAACCCTGTAAGATAGGGACCGGCACGGTACCGCTCGCCTGGGCGATGGAGCGGTGGCGGGTCTCAATAACAGTCAGGGTCTCTACAAAGTCGGTGAGGGTGAGCTCACCGGGGTGAATGCTAAGGAAGCGGTCGCGGGCGGCGGCAAGGCGGTCAGGGAGGCGGGTGGCAAGCAGGTAGAGGGTAGAGGTAATGGGCGGCTGGTGGGCTCTAAGCTGTGCGTCAGTGCAGGCAGCGCGCCAGGTCTCATCTATCGAGCGCAGGTGGGCAGCTAGGTCAGAGACAGTGGGGAAAGACGCAAGGTCGGGAAAGAGCATCGGGAGGATCAGGCGACCCACCGAGGCAGCAGGAGGGGTGGAATAGTGCTTGATGACAGCATCTAAGTAAGCATGGGCGGTAGTGATGGACCTAAAGCGAGGGCGCTCGGACGGGGGAAGGGCATTGCTAATGGCAAGCTGAGCGACAGCGTCTCGAGAAAGCCAGACAGAGCGCGCAAGGGCAGTGGTTGCAGTAGACTCGCGCTCAGCAGGTGTGGGGTCAGCGGGCAGAACAGCAGGGGGGTCTGGGCAGGGGAGCGTACCGTCAAGGTGTGCGGAAAGTGGGTGGCCATCCTGCCGATGGCCAGTGAGGTGGCGACGGAGGTCGGCAAGCCACGCCTCGAACTCCAGAGGCTGGCCTTCAGTGTCGAAGCGAAGCTCCGCCGCCATCAGGAGCAGTGCAGGACTGTACAGTGCGGTACAGTGCGGTGCAGCGCGGTGCAGCGCGGTGCAATGCGGTGCAGGGCGGTGCAGTGCGGTGTAGGGCGGTACCGCGCAGTGCAGTGCGGTGCAGGACGGTGCAGTGCGGTGCAGGGATGGGGAACCGTACCAGGGAGGATGCAGGGCCGGGGCAGGGACGACGAGCGGGCCACACACAGCTCGGGCCAGAAGCAGCGGGCACCAGGCCGACGAGACGGGCGCGGGGCCGGCTGGGACGGGCGCAGGGGCCGAGCAGACGGGCGCGGAGGTCGCGAGGGCGGGCGCGAGGCCGGCTGGGACGGGCGCAAGGCAAGTGCGGTAGGGCCAGGCAGGCGCGGCGGGGCCAGGCAGGCGCGGCGGGGCCAGGCAGGCGCGGCGGGGCCAGGCAGGCGCGACGGGGCCAAGCAGGGCGCGACGGGGCTGGGCAGGGCGCGACGGGGCCAGGCAGGCGCGGCGGGGCCAGGCAGGGCGCGACGGGGCTAGGCAGGGCGCGACTGGGCCAGGCGGGCGCGACGGGGCCGGGCAGGGCGCGACGGGGCCGAGCGGGCGCGACGGGGCCAGGCAAGCGCGACGGGGCCGGGCAGGGCGCGACGGGGCCGGGCAGGGTGCGACGGGGCTAGGCAGGTGCGACGGGGCCGGGCAGGGCGCAACGGGGCTGGGCAGGGCGCGACGGGGCTAGGCAGGGCGCGACGGGGCCAGGCGGGCGCGACGGGTCCGGGCAGGGTGCGACGGGGCCGAGCGGGCGCGACGGGGCCAGGCAGGGCGCGACGGGGCCAAAAGGCGTAACGGGGCCCAGGAGGGGCGCGACGGGGCCCAGAAGGGGCGCGACGAGGCTAGGGGGGGCGCGACGGGGCCCAGAAGGGGCGCGACGGGGCTAGGGGGGCGCGACGGGGCCAGGAGGCGCGGCAGGGCCCAGGAGGGGCGCGACGGGGCTAGGAGGCGCGACGGGGCCCAGGGGGAAGCGGCGGGGCCTAGCTAGGGTACGGGCGGAAGCGGTAGGTGGGGGATCCTAACCTACGCGTGATACCATGTTAGAATGAGAACTGAATGATTGAGTAAGAGAGAGTACAGGTGAATATACCTAAGTGTTGTACCCTCTAAGAGGTGGCCCTATACAGTCTATGCAAACATAGGAAATACACATGTTTGACAACAAAGGCATTCCCTATGTGCCTTTTTTCTCCTAGCTAGTTTTGCTTCCTTGAATGTAGGCTGTGCTCGCCAAACGTCTCTGATGCTGCTTATGCCAAATTCAGATATGATTGCGTCACAAAATCAAATGTGGTACACCACAAATTTGTTTGCTACAATAGATACACTCACCATGTCTCACCCCAAGTAATGAACCCTCTAAACGCCTTCTGAAGGGTGCCTCCTTGCCTAAATCACAAATCCAACTATCCAACCCATGTTTAAACACTACTCCAACATCCAATTTTCTTCCTGCACTGCACTCAGACCTCCTTACTCCATAGCTTTTGCACCACATGCTATGACCGACTGGCCACCGCCCTGAGACCGTAATCCTCCTGAGACCGTAATCCTCCTGAGACCGTAATCCTCCTGAGACCGTAATCCTCCTGAGACCGTAATCCTCCTGAGACCGTAATCCTCCTGAGACCGTAATCCTCCTGAGACCGTAATCCTCCCGAGACCGTAATCCTCCTGAGACCGTAATCCTCCTGAGACCGTAATCCTCCCGAGACCGTAATCCTCCTGAGACCGTAATCCTCCTGAGACAATAAACCGTAATCACCCCCTCCTCTGTGGTTTCACATCTCTGCTGTGCGATCACTCACCCCACCCACCAGCCCCCCACAGCAGCAGTGCAAGCACGCAGCACGCGGTCTAGCTGCTGCACTCGGCTGAGAAGCAGCAGCAGCCACGGTGAGCTGAGTGGTGCTGCTTCCGACCCAGTCCATACACCTCAAAGGAAACCAACTGCACACAAGGAGAAGCTCACGCATAACCTATTCTGCCACCGCCGCTGCTGCTGCTGCTGCTGCTGCTGCAGGCCCCAGCACAGCAGCGAGCAAGTGGTCCAGCTTCTGGACTCGGCTGAGCAGCTGCTGCTGCTTCCGATCCGATCCATATGCCAGGTGCGTTAGCTCGCCAGAAGCCCACTCGTTGGCTATTCTGCCGCTGCTGCTGGTGCTGCTGCGGGCCCCAGCACAGCAGCGAGCACGTGGTCGAGCTCCTGCACTCGGCTGAGCAGCAGGTCGCGGTCGGCCAGCAGCTGCTGCAGCGCCAAGTGCTGCTGCTGCGCCGCTGCCTCCACCGCCCCCACCGCGGCTGCCGCAGCTGCTGGCTCGGACGACTGCTGAGTGGTGGTTGCCTTGAGAGATGAAATGGCGGAAGAGAGCTGACCAGAGCAAGGAGGGGGAGGGGGGGAGACGGGGGAGGAATGCTCGGGTGGTAAATTGAAACTAGTAGGATGGATAGAGAGAAAGATACCTCGAAACAACACTGGATGTCACTCACACCATGGCACAGCACTCCACACACACTCCACCATCTTCCCACCACGCCCATCACTCTCCCTCTCACCCGCACCACTCACCCTCTCACACACACCACTCACCCTCTCAACCGCACCACTCACCCTCTCACCCGCACCACTCACCCTCTCACCCGCACCACTCACCCTCTCACCCGCACCACTCACCCTCTCACCCGCACCACTCACCCTCTCACCTGCACCACTCACCCTCTCACCCGCACCACTCACCCTCTCACACACTGCTGCCACTTGCTGTGCTCTCGGGTCATCAGACGCCCCAATCCCTCCTCCTGCCCCTGCTCCCGCTCCCAGCCCCTCTGCTACAGGAGCAGCAGCAGCAGCCACAGAGGAACCAGCAGCAGCAGCACCAGCAACACCAGCAGCAGCAGCAGCCGCAGCACCAGCAGCACTAGTAGCAGCAGGTGCAGTGGTGGGTGTGGCTTGACGAACAACCACAGCCACACCCAGTAGACATTCCGGGTGGTCGGCTCCCGCAAGTGGCAGCCAGCTGAAGCAAGACGCCAGGGGTGAGGAGAGGTGGGGAGAGGTGGGAATCAGTTGTGGAAATGAGGGAGAGTGAAGGAGAGGGGGGAGACTGAGCTAGAAACGTGAGAGCGAGCATGGAATGAATAAGCAACACAGAATCTGAAGCACGGAATCTGAAGCACGGAATCTGAAGCACGGAATCTGAAGCACGGAATCTGAAGCACGGATTCTGAAGCACGGAATCTGAAGCACAGAATCTGAAGCACGGAATCTGAAGCACGGAATCTGAAGCACGGATTCTGAAGCACGAAATCTGAAGCACGGAATCTGAAGCACGGAATCTGAAGCACGGAATCTGAAGCACGGAATCTGAAGCACGGAATCTGAAGCACGGATTCTGAAGCACGGAATCTGAAGCACGGAATCTGAAGCACGGAATCTGAAGCACGGAATCTGAAGCACGGATTCTGAAGCACGGAATCCGAAGCACGGAATCTGAAGCACGGAATCTGAAGCACGGAATCTGAAGCACGGATTCTGAAGCACGGAATCTGAAGCACGGAATCTGAAGCACGGAATCTGAAGCACGGAACAAGGACGAATTGATGAGCCGAGCTTCTTTCTCCCTCCTCTGCACGACCCATGCTACTTTCCTCAGAGGACAAGTGCAACCACACACACAGACACAGCACCCATCAAAACAAGCACACACGACAGCAGCATCAGCGACTCACAACTCCTGGGACGACCCCGGGCACAGGGCGGAATAGTCGATGCGGCAGGAGCCGAGGGTGAGCGCGGAGGAGAGGGCGAGCGCGAGGCCGTGCGGCTCCTTGACGACCACCTCAAGCTCGTCGCCCGTGTCCGGCAGGTCAAACACCGCGCCCCACTCGGGGGCCAGGCTGCGATGCACCACCTGCGGAGTTGAGGGGAGGGGGGAGGGGGGGAGGTGGGGGAGGTGGGGAAGGTGGAAGGGGAGGGGGAAAGTGGGGGAAGGGTGTGCAGATTAGAGGGTACCAGGGAGAGGTAGAGGGGAGAGGGTATATGCTGGGAGGTGCGCGTGCCGCCTAAGCAAACATCGTGTGCCACTCTGCGGTCAGGCTGCGATGCACCACCTGCAGGGTGCGGGGTGAGGGGGAACAGGGAGAGATAGAGGAGGGGAGAGGGCGCATGTTGCGCAAGCACAGGAGGTATGTCACCTCCAGCTCGTCGCCTGTGTCTAACAGGTAAAAAAAGGCTTTTCTTTTTTAGTCAACCCAAAAGCTGTGTCCGGCAAGGTTTGTTTTTTGTCGACTCAAAAGCTGTGTCCGCCAGGTCAAACGAGGTTCTTTTCAGTTAGTCGACTCAAAAGCAGTGTCTGCCAGGTCAAACAAGGCTTCTTTTTTTTTGTCCGCTCAAAAGCTGTCTCCACCAGGTCAAATAAGGCATGCCACACTTGGGGGGCACGATGCGATGCACCACCTGCAGGTTGGGGGACGGGGAAGAAGGGAGGGAGAGGAGGGGAGGAGGGGATGGGGGGTTTGCATGGATCAGTGTGAGGGAGGGGGAAGGCCGTTGCGGTGCGTTTGGCACACAGAACTGGAGCGGAGGCACGCTGCGACAGGGAGCAGCCCCACCACTTAAGACCTGCCATCCAGCCCTCCCCGCCCCTCCCCATCCTTCCCACTCCCCTCCCCAGCCCTCCCCATCCTTCCCATCCTTCCGCCCTCCACCCCTTGATGCATCTCTCTAATTATTCCGTATCGTCCAGTGGCCTATGAGTGCCGGGCGCTTTACCCCTAACTGCCTGCCCCGTGGGTGTGTCCAGACACAACTCAGATCTCACCCCGTCCTTACCCAACCTCCCTAACACTCCTCTCCCCATCCCCCCACTTCCCACCCCCAACACTCCCCCCCTCTCCACCTCCATCCTCCCCCACCGTTGAGAACTCAGTTGGTGGTTCTGTATCGCACGGTATCGGATTTGTCAGGCGCGTTGCCGCTAACTGCCTGCCCAGTGTGTGTGTATTGACACAACTCGGACATCACCCAGCCTCCCTAAGACTCCTTCTTTCTCCCCCCACCCACCCACCACCCCACCCCCAACCCTCTACCACCCTCCACCCCCCTTTTCCCCCCACTTCCCCTGGGCACACCTTGGTGCGTCGCTTGGTGGCTCCGTATCGCACGGTGGCGTATGTGTCAGGCGCCTTGCCCTTGGCGGCAACGACAGTGGGGTGCGATGCGAGACCGCGCACTCCCAGCACCGTCACCTGCAGCCGCCGAGACGACACCGCACGGTCCTTGCGCGATAGGGCCTGGCTTGGGAGGGGAAGTGGGGGGGAGGGGGGAGGGGAAGGGGGGGGGGGAGAATAAGGGGGAGGGATAGGGAGGAAGGGAAGGAGGGGGGTTGCAAGGGACGGAGAGGGGTGGGAGGGAAGATGCGAGGCTACGCACTCCCAGCATGGCCACGTGCAGCTGAAGCAATGAGACCGCACGTGTACAACAGCCCCTGTACAACAGCACAGGGCTTGTGATGATCGGGGATAGTGGGGATAAGGGGGGGAAGGGGGGATAGGGGGGAACTGGGGAGATAGGGGGAAAGGATCAGGGATAAGGCAGGGGTGAAAGGCGAAATGCGAGGCTGTGCACTCCCTCCCAGCACTATCAGATGCAATCTGTGTGATGAGACTGTGCGGTCCTTGTGCGACAGCACCTGGTGGAGGGGGCTTGCAGGGGGGTGGAAGGAGATGAGGGTTGGAAGGAGGAGAGAGGTGGGGCAAGGATGTGAGGGAACGCACTGCCAGCACTGCCAGCTGAAGCCTGTGCGATGAGGAAGCATGGTCCCATCCTTGCGAGATACACTGTGTGTGTCGGGGATGCGCATGGCATTGCCTTGGGTGGGTGGCCCGCACACGTGAGAGGGAGGGAGGCGGGATTCTGAAATGAGATTGCGGTGAGAAGGAAGCAGGATTGTGTGTACGCAGGGATGCAGATGACTGTTGCATCTGCGAATCGCTATCGTGCACAGGTGCATACATGCGATGTGGTGCACTGCTACTGAGTCGACTCTAAAGCACAGGGGTGCATGACTGGTGCTTGCGATGTGGTCCGCATGAGAGAAATGGTGGAAGAATGACGCTCAAGATCCCTGTGGCCTGGCCCAGAAGACAGGCGACTGATATGGAGGAGGAGGAGGATGAGGAGGAGGAGGAGGAGGAGGAGGAGGAGGAGGAGGGAGGAGGAGGAGGAGGGAGGAGGAGGAGGAGGAGGAGGAGGAGGAGGAGGAGGAGGAGGAGGAGGAGGAGGAGGAGGAGGAGGAGGAGGAGGAGGAGGAGGAGGAGGAGGAGGAGGAGGAGGAGGAGGAGGAGGAGGAGGAGAGCGACGAGGCTAGAGGAGGTTGCTCTGCTCGAGGGAATCGCAGGGTGTGGGGGTTGGGGGGTAAGATGGAGGGGGGAGGAAGAATGGTAGAGATAGATGGCAAGGGCAGTGAAGAGTGATGTGATGTGATGTGATGTGATGTGATGTGATGTGATGTGATGTGATGTGATGTGATGTGATGTGATGTGATGTGATGTGATGTGATGTGATGTGTTGTGATGCGATGCGATGCGATGTGATGTGATGTGATGGGTGTGTCATGTCATCTTGGCTGCTCCGTTCCGCCCTCTGCTAAACTTCTATTCCGTCTCGCATGTTTGTACCGCCTTCCTACGTGAATGAAGGACTGACGGACGGCTTGAGAGAGGGAGGCAGGGAGTGAGAGGCCTACCGTGAGAAACACACAAAAACAAAGCCAGGGAGGAGGGGAGGAGGGAAGGAGCGGGGGAAGGGGGAAGGGGGGAGCGGGGGAAGGGGGAGAGGAGCGGAGGATACTGACCCTGAGAATGCTGGTTGGCCGCTTGGCAGCACCACCAGTAGCAGTGCCACCATCCACGCCTGCCCCACCATCCGACACTCCTCCGGTCCCTGCTGTTCCTGCTGCGCCATCTGCTGCTGCTGTCCCTAGCCCCTGGGTGTGCTCTGCTTCCAGCGCCAGCATGAGGTGCACGTCCCCCGACCCCCCTGCCCCGCCCATGGGCAGCCACAGCCCCGCATCGCCCTGGAGGGCTGCTGGCTGGGGGTGGGGAGAGAGGTGTGGGTTGGGGGATGGGGAGGAAAGGGAGTGATGGGAGAGATGAGAGGGATGGGACACATACACACACACACACACACACGCGCCCTCCCTTACGTATGGAGGAGTGTACTTGCATGAAAAAGAGGCAGACACATTTGCAAACATGCGTCATGGCATAGGACCGCAGGTACAGCAAAGAGGCTTCCGCGCATGTCCAAACACGTACATATCTCATGGCATGGCATGGCATGGCATGGCATGAGATGAGACAGCGCTTGCTGATGGCACAGACCTGGAGGAAGAGCGAGGCGTGGCCTAGCATCGCAAGGCATGGCACAACACAACCCGGCATGGCGACCAAGGGCGTGAAGGGACAGAAGCACAGAGGCACAGACCTGGAGGAAGAGCGAGGCGTGGCCGAGGGGGATGGGCGACCAGGGCGAGAGGGACGAGAAGGCGAGGCAGCGCACGTGCAGCAGGGGCGGCGCCCCCGCCACCTCGCGCAGCTGCAGGGCGTCCGCCCACACGGGGTTGGCGTCGGGGATGGCCCTCGTGCGCACACGTTGCTGGCGGACCGTGGACGTGCCGGGGGGGATAGACGGGAGAGAGAGTGGGTTGAGGGTTTTGAGTTGGAACCACTGGGGGTTGGCGTCGGGGATGGCCCCCGTGCGCACATGTTGCTGGTGGACGTGCCAGGGGGGGGTGGGCAGGGGGGTGAGCGGTTGGGAGGCGAATCGGGGGGGTGGGAAGGTGGTGAAGAAAGAGACCCACAGGGGGTTGGTGCCAAGAATGGCTCTCACGTGAGCATATTGCTGGTGAAGATGGAGGGGGCTGGGGAGAAGGGAGGAAGAGGGTGGCATAAGGAAGCGAGAGTAGAGGATTGGAGACAATGGCGAGAAAATCTGGTAGAGAAGAAAGGTCGAAGAAGAGAGGGGGGAAGGAAGAGTGGGGGAGGGGAAGGGGGGGGAGGGCTCGGCTTGGAGAGTGAGAAGACGCTGGGCTAGTGGTGGCTAGTGCTGCAGTTCTGGCGGGTGGAGGAGGTATGGCAGGGGTTGGAAAGGGACGAGGAGAAGGCGTAAGTACAAGGAATAGTAGGTCATGAAGGCCGTTACGGGAATAGCATAACTAAACCAGTCCCCTCTTCCCTCCAACCTCTTCATTCGCCCCTCTCCCTTCTCACTCATCCCTCCTCCCACCCCTCCTTCCCCATCTCTCCCTCACTCTCTCCGTCCGCCACTCTGTCCTTTTGCCCCTCTCCGCTCCCCTCCCCCCCCCCCCCCAACTCCCCCTCCACTCCCCCCCGCTCCCTCCCCACTCCGCCCATCTTACCGAGCCGTATTCCACCTCCACCAATATCCCCGGAGCTGCACTCCCTCCTCCTCCCCCGCCCTTTCCCCCCATGCCCAAGCCCATGGCTCCCCCGTCCCTGCTCTGCCACACCCGCCTCCCCTCCACCACTGTCAGTCGGATGCTGCGACCCGTGAAGGACGGGGGCGAGGGGGGGAGAGTGGGGAGAGAGGCGGAGGAGGAGGAGGCGAGGAGGGAGGGGAGGAGCTGGGGAGGGGGGAAGAGGGGTGGTGCTGTGAAGGGGAGTGAGGGAGTGGCGGCAGGGGAGGGAAGCCAGTAGGGTGGGGAGAGCCGGAGGCGAATCTGCAAGAAAGCATGGGATGGGGGGGGTTGAGGGAGGGGGAAGGAATGGGATGAGTTAGAAAGGGGTGGGATGGGATGAGAGGAGATGTTGAGAAAAGGACCTGAGGAATTGGAACGGGGAAGGGGGGAAGGGAGGGATGAGTGTGAGAAGCAGGGGGGAAGGGAAAAGAACGGGAGAGATCTCTAAGGGTGTTGGCCTTTGGCACAAGCTCTTAGAGAAACAGGGTTGTAAAAACCCGAACGAAGCACAAGCTTGCTGCATGCACACTCAGTAACGGGGCACGTGGTGCGGGTGGAGGAGAGAGGTAGCGGGGGGAAAGAGAGAGGGGGGAGGGGAGGGGGGGTCGATAGGAGAGGATGAGGAAGGAAGGAAGGAGAAGAAGGAAGGACGGAAGGACGGAAGGACGGAAGGACGGAGAGGAGGGGAAAGGACGGAGAATCTCACCACCCCTGAAGTGGCAGGATAGTCGAGCGCGAGGGAGATGGTGACAGGGCGAAGGGAGGAGGGTGAGAGCGGCACGCGGCGCACTATGGGCACACGGTGAGGGCCCATGCCCCACAGCACTGCAGAGGGGGTGGATCCCCCCGTGCTGCCGTCCACGCCCGTGTACGCCACCTGAGAGGGGGGGACGGCACACAGGAGCAGGTCAGGGAGAGGAACAGCAGAGACAGCAGAGGGAGGAGCCCCCCGTGCTGCCATCCATGCCCAAGAACGCCACCTGAGAGCGCGGTGGACGCGCGGACGGGACGGAAGGCAGAGGGAATCAGGTGGACTTTGGGAGTTCTCATGTAGCAGCTGAGCCTAAGCTCGGTGCAGAGGGGACGGATGGCAGAGGGAAAGACAGTGAACGGGCTCAGGGGCGGAGGGGGGGAGTGGAGAGGAGAGGGCTCGAGGGGAGGGGGAGACAAGATAGCCCAACGAAGGGGATAGGGGCGGACAGGAGGTCCAGGGCGGGTTTGGGGGGGTATTAACACGAGTAGTGAGAAATGCAGAAGAAGCGTTGGCACATGAACTACAGGCGAAGCGCGCATAGGGAGGCACAGACATTTGGACAGTCATGCACACGGCAGCCGGTAAGTGGAAGACGGGAGGGGCGAGAATTCTCACATGCAACTGAGCTGTGCCTAGCACCACACAAGAGGATACACCCGCAGCACCACTACCATCCCCTCCTCCTCCTCCTCCTCCTGATGCTGCTGCTGCTGCTGCACCATCGGCAGCCACAGCAGCAGCTGCTGCGGCCACTTTCCCCGAAAGCTCGCAGACTAGCAGAGTGAGGGAGAAACGCGGCCCATTGCCCCATAGCAACATCGCACCCTCCTCCCCCCCTGCCACCGCTCCTGCTACTGCCCCTGCTGCACCTTCGCCCCCTGCATCAGCAGCAGCAGCAGGTTTAGACCATTTAGGCTGCGTGCCTGATGTGACGCTGGGTGCAGAGCACCTGCGTATATCCCCACACTGCACCTCCACAATGCAAGGACCCACCACCGGTCCCCTTGCCTCCTCTCCCTCTCCCTCGCCCCCTTCTCCTCCTACTCCCCCCGTCGCCCCTGCTCCTGCCCCTGCTGCTGCCGACTGCGCTGGTGCTGCTGCACTTGCAGCAGGAGGAGCAGCAGGATGGGGAGGAGTGGTGAGAGAGGAACGAGATGGACGGACGAGATTGGACGCGGAGATGAGGGAGAGCGAGATATAACCACCCACAACGGCGGGAAGAGGAACGGGGAGGGAGAGGGGAGGCGTGGGGGAGAGGGCGGGCGGGGGGAAGGTGAGGGGGAGCAGCTGCTTGACTGGGTCAACGGCACGGGCAGCTATGTAGGACGACAGCACTCGGGTCTGCAGAGGATGGTGCAGGGCGGGAGGAGGGGGGGGAAGAGGGAGGGGGGGAGGGGGAAGGGGGGATGGGTGGGTGGGGGGGGAGTGTGAGGACCAGGAAGTGTGAGGAGAGTGGGACAGGATGAGTTGTCAGGGTTAGGCTGAAGCGGTTGATTGGAGGGTCATGAAGGATACGGAATGGCGGATGGGCATGAGAATGAACGGGGGTGGGCGGGGTGACTTTTGAGTCGACTCAAAAGTCACCTCGGATGGGCATGAGAATGAACGGGGGTGGGCGGGCAATGGGGCTCAGGTGGGTGGGACACGGGGAAGGGGCATTGCGGATAAGTGAAGGCACGAGGTAGGAGGACGGCATGTGGGCACGTAAGCACCAGTGTGCAACAGCCACTCTGATCCCATTTCCTTCCATCTCCATCCATCCATCCATCCATGATCCACCCATGCCTCTATCCATTCTTACCCACTCCTTCTGTGCACTCCCCACCCACTTCCCACCCACTTCCCACCCACTTCCAACCCACTTCCCACCCACTTCCCACCCACTTCCAACCCACTTCCCACCCACTTCCCACCCACTTCCAACCCACTTCCCACCCACTTCCCACCCACTTCCAACCCACTTCCCACCCACTTCCCACCCACTTCCCACCCACTTCCCACCCACTTCCCACCCACTCCCCACACACTTCCCACCCACTTCCCACCCACTCCCCACCCACTTCCCACCCACTTCCCACCCACTCCCCACCCACTTCCCACCCACTCCCCACCCACTCCCCACCCACCCCCCACCAACCAGTCACCCCGCCTTGAGCAGTGCGCTCACCAGCCACTCGTCGAAGCCTGCGAGGAGGAAGAGAGCGGCGTCAGCGTTGGTGTGGTGGTGCAGGGCGAGGGAGAAGGACACGGCGGGCGGCCGCACAAACGACCACAGCAGCGCGCTGCCGCTGCACACCGGCACCAAACGGACCTGATGTGGGCGAGAAACGGAGGGAGGAGGAGACGGCAAGGGGAGAGGACGTGGAAGTGGGAGAGGGAGAGGGAGAGGGGGGGAGTGTGAGAGTAAAAGAGAGGACGAGGAGCAATCTAGGGTGGGGCCGACTGACGAGCTGTGCATTGCAGCGGTGAGCAATAGCTCCAGGAAAAGAGAAACTGACACGATTGATCTGTGTGACAGACAATACAGTGAGATCCACTCGCCCACTCAGCACTCTCACTCACTCACTCCCTCAGCACTCTCACTCACTCGCTTGCTCAGCACTCTCACTCACTCACTCACCCGCTCCCTGACTCATTGAATGGCGCACACTCTGCCTGAGTGGCTGAATGATAGGTTGACTGACTGACTGACTGACTGACTGACTGATTGACTGACTGACTGACTGACTGACTGACTGACTGACTGACTGACTGACTGACTGACTGACTGACTGACTGACTGACTGACTGACTGACTGACTGACTGACTGACTGACTGACTGACTGACTGACTGACTGACTGACTGACTGACTGACTGACTGACTGACTGACTGACTGACTGACTGACTGACTGACTGACTGACTGACTGACTGACTGACTGACTGACTGACTGACTGACTGACTGACTGACTGACTGACTGACTGACTGACTGACTGATTGACTGACTGACCGTGCCAGTAATAGCCACATTGGAAATGGCCAGCTGAATCTTGGACCCGGCGAGGGAGCGGGGCGTGCCAGGCTGCGGCGAGGAGAGGGAGGAGGAGGCGGGCAGGAGGGAGTGAGCGGCGGACGGGGAGGCGGCGTCAGGGGCGAAGTGCACGGAGAGCACAACAGACAGCCCGCTGGTCGCCCACCGCACGTCCACGTTCAGCCCCTGCTCCTCCTCCCCCTCATGCTGCCCCTCTTGCTGCTGCTCCTGCTGCTCGCACGCATCCTCCGTCCCTCCCTCTCCCTTCCCTACCAGCACAGCACCACCAGCACTGCCTGTTTCTTCCTGTGAGCCCCCTCCTCCTCCTCCACCTGCCGCTCCACTGCTGGACTGCCCTTCGCCTGCCAGCCCACGCGCGGTCTCTGCTGCAGCCACCCCAGCAGCAGCAGCCGCAGCCGCAGCAGCAGCAGCGCCAGGTGCACTGCTACCGTTAACAGCAGCAGCAGAGACGGGCCTCTGCTGCGAACCGTGCTGGGCGCTTGACTGCGGCGTGTGCGGCTGGCGCGTTGACCAGAACAGGCCAAGCGGCCCCACTTGCGGCGCTGCGTCGCCGAAATCCATCTCTAGAATCTCCACGGCTTGCTGGGGGGGGACAGGGAGGGGGGACAGGAGGGGGACAGGAGGGGGGACAGGAGGGGGGACAGGAGGGGGACGGCGGGTGGTGGGGGGAACATGGGGGGAAGGGGGGACAAGGGAGGGGAGAAGGGGGGGGAGAGGGGGGAAGACGGGGGTGGGAGGGGGGTGGGGAAAGAGGATCAAGGGGTGAGGGAGGAGAAGAGGAGGGAGAGGAGAGGAGGAAGATAAGAGAAATGGGTAGGGTGGTGGTAGGTAAGGCGGAGGATCAGGGGAGGGGGGAGACAGACAGGGTGGATTGGGATTGCTGGAAGTGAACGCACAATGTGATGTGATTGGTGCAGAGAAGGGCGGAGGGGGGTAGATGCATCATGTATGCCTGCATGCACGCACCACACATAGAACCCTCGTGGCACCACATTGTGCCATTTGTCCACGTATCCCCGTGCTCTCCCACACGTCCCCCCCCACTCACCACATGCCCCCCTCTCTCTCACCACATGCCCCCCTCTCTCTCACCACATGTGGCGGCACATCCCTGTCCATGATGCTCTGTTGGCGGGGGGTGGTGAAGGGAGAGGGGGGGGGGGGGGGGGGGGGGGGGAGGGGAGGGGGGACGCACAGCGACAAAGGGCAGAGTACAAGGGTGACCACAGCAAGCCAGGGCAGCGAGCCAAGGTGGTGCTGGAATGCAGAAAACCTTCTGAACAACATCACTGAGGACAATGAGCAATCAGCAGCAGCAGAGTGTCGCTTTCATGCGACCACCATTCCTCACTCACTCACTACTGCAGATGCTGCTTGCATGGGATGCCACCTCACCTGCTCGCCTTCCGCCTCACCTGCTCCCCTTCCGCCTCACCTGCTCCCCTTCCGCCTCACCTGCTCGCCTTCCGCCTCACCTGCATGGCGGCCTGCGTGGCAGCGAGCGTGCGCGGATGCAGCACGTTGGGCCACAGCAGCACGAGCAGCTTGTTCAACCAGTCCGCTGGCTCCCGCGCTGACAGCGGCTGCAGTGACGGCGCGCAGAGGAGGGCGCATAGAGGAGAGCGCGCAGAAGAGGGCGCGCAGAGGAGGGCGCGCAGAGGAGGGCGCGCAGAGGAGGGCGCGCAGAGGAGGGCGCGCAGAGGAGGGCGCGCAGAGGAGGGCGCGCAGAGGAGGGCGCACAGAGGAGGGCGCGCAGAGGAGGGCGCACAGAGGAGGGCGCGCGCACAGAGGAGGGCGGGACGGACGAGGGGAAGGGCGAGGGAGAGGCAGAGAGGGGAGAGGCAGACATAGGAAGACACGCAATGGAGAGAGGAGGGTCAATTGGGTAGAACGGAAGGGACTTGGAGGGAGGGGATGGAAGAGAGACAGGAGCAGAGCAATAATAACTGTCACTTCCAACCCACTCATCTGCCCCGACTGCCATCACCCTCCCATCGCCACGCCATGGCGCACCCACCACCCAGCCATGGCGCACGGCCTACCAGGTCCCTGAGGAGTTTCTGCTGCCACATCTCCCTGCGCTCCTCCTCCGCCCGCCGCTCCTCGTACAGCCCGCGCTGCTGCTGCTCCCCGCGCACACTCTGCTCCGCGCTCGCACGCACCCACGCACGCTCGCACACGCACACGCACACGCACACACGCACACGCACACACGGACACAGCGCAAGAGCGCGCGAGAGAAAATGGAGAGGGGAGGGAGAAAAGGGGGATAGGGAATGGGGGGGGATTTGAGGGGGGGGGGGGGGGGGGATACGTATGAAACGACTGCGCGCGTTCACAACCACGAGGCCTGCACACAGAAGTCGGGAGGGGAAGGCCCAGGCGGCCGTCAGGTGTGGACTAACGACTGCCTGGCAGCTGGTAGAAAGCGGTTGTAGCCGCAGATGCGGACAGAGGGGAAACGCGCGAAGGCTGCGGATCTGCTGGGCCTTCGCCGCTCGTAGCGCGAAAGTGTAAGTCTCTTCGCGCCAATTAGACGCGCTCGACGAACCTCTAACTACGCCGCTACTGAGGCAACCACTTTGGAAGGCGACCCGGCAGCGTAGTGAAGACGAACTTAATCAGCCACTATTCTCGCAGCTGTAGCAGTGACTTTTGTGTCGAGTATTAAGTCTTCTCACGCCTATCGCTCTCTCAGCCACTCACGTGATGCCACATCATCGTCATTGCCAGAAACGCCACGATCCACGTCAGCGGCACCCGCCCGCCGAGCCACCATTCCGCCGCGGCTGCCGCCACCCCGAGCAGGAGCAGCGCGGGCAGGGGGGGAACCGGCGCTGCGGGCCGGGCGCGTAACAAGGCGGAAACTTTCCTATCGGCCATCGCGCAAGCGCTAATTAATCGCCCTCCCGCGCTCGACACGCGCGGCGGAAGTATGGAGCAGATTAGAGCCCAACGGACGACATGAAATGGCGGGGATTCGTATTAGTGGAACCTGGCTCCCTGGCTCCTGCGCCTTCAGGTCCACAGTGAACAGATGTCACCTACAGTATTTGTGAGTGGAGCAACGATGGGAAGCGGGAAAATCAAGGGAGCCCAGCCGAGCATCAAAGACCACAACAATGGGTGCACAACAAATCTGCTCGACTCGGAGAATACCCGTATCGGATAGTGGAACATCCCTTCCGATTCAGCTACACAACCTCTAAAATTCAAACTAAGTTCAACATGTTACTAGCCTTTTGGAGTCCTGCACTTTAAAAATCATTATGGAAAGACTTTTTAAGGGAATATGCTTCAAATAGGATTCTTTTTGGAATTTTTTGATTCAATAGCCTCAAATAAATTAAATACAAGCATTCGATGATGGTTTACTATTCTAACAATTTTATGCAGGATGAATCCATTTGCGGAAATAGATATGGCTGCACACGTAGTAGACATACACTTGTTATGCAGCTATGAATAAATGGAAACCTTATAGCACAGCCTTTGTGGCGTTCTAACATATGCTGACTTATCGCGCTACTCCATATCCTTTCCTGATGTTTCTCTGCAAGGCGAATCCATTGCTGCTGTGTCAGACAGAACCCAGACCGCAACCCCCCTCCCTATCCAGCCACTAGCTTGAGCGTCCATACGATCGCCATGGACGTTTCTCCACTTTCTCTGCCCCTCCTCGTCGAGCCGCTCTCAGGTATAGAGTGGAGTACACACACAAGCATGGCTATATCTTTATTATCTCTTCGCTGCACGTTCGTGTTTCTCCTGACTGCGTCTGAAATATGTCTCCTGTGCTTCGTCGGTCAACCGATGCACCAGCCAAGACGGCGCATTTCACAGCGAACCCCTTTTTTTGTCGGGGGGAGGAGGAGGAGGGGAGGGGTCGTTAGCGACCGCTGCAACGTAGCCCTTTATCCACCAAGCTTCAGGCCGGGCATGACAACCAATAGGTTGCGCAGCATGTAGTGCACTCGTTACAGAAACGGAAGTGTTCCTATTCACTATTAGTAGGCACATACATCCCCCCCGAGACACTATTTTGTCATAGCCGGTGTCCTTGTACCTTTTCTCGCAGGCAGCCGCGGCTGGGTGTGCAACGAGAGCGAGAAAGAGGGGGCGAATCAGCAAGGAAGGCGGCATGATAGGAAGCAGCAGCAGCAGCAGCATGGCGGAACGGGCACGCTGCTGCTGCTGCCGCTGCTGTGGCTGCTTGCAGTGCTGCTTGTTGGAGTGCTGCTGCTGCTGCTGCTGCTGCTGGCATTGTCACTGACCCGCTGCGAGCAGCCGTTGATTCAACAGGTGGTGCAAGTGGGGTTTGGGAGGGGGGGGGGGGGGGGGGGAGAGGAGGGGGGGGAGGTGGGGGGGGGTTGTTGGGGCGAGTGTGGTCCAAGTGTGGGTGGTTGGGGTGGAGGTGGTTTGGTAGGGGACAAAGGTTAACTGGTGACTGGTCTGGTGGTGGTCGCTGTGCTGCCAGAGTGCACGCAAGTATTTCAGCAAGGTGTTCCGCCTTTCGGTCTTCCTATGCATTATACTACCTATGCCATTTGACGTATTCTCATTCCGTCCTTCTCCGTTGTTCCCTTCCCTGTGTTTCCCCCTCCCCATCACCATGGCAGCTTCTCCTGTCTCCTCCCTCTCTTTCCTCCTCCTCCTCCTCCTCCTCCTCCTCCTCGGGCCCCTCCTGCCCCGTCTGCCACTCCTTCCTGCTCAACGCAGCAGTCAACAACCTCAAGTCATGGCGCCTTCCCCCCTGCTGCATACCCCACGTAGCGCACTACGTTTCTTCCGGCGCTTACCACACCGACCACGCTACCGCCATCGCCGCTGCTGCTGCCTACTTTGGAGTGCCGCTAGGTAAAGGGCTTGGAGATGATTCAGTAGGGTGGGAGAGGAGGGGAGGCGGAGGTGAGGGGGAGATGGTAGGGTTGGTTGGTGTTTTGGGGAGGAAAGGGGGGGAGAGGAAAGGCACCGTCGCAGCTGGTTGGGGGAACGAGGAGGGCTCATGGGTGTGGGGCGAGGGGCAACCAGCGTCCAGAGGGTTTAGCAGGCAGCATTTGGGGAAGAGTGTGAGTGAGAGTGAGAGTGGCATGACACGGGGTGATGAGGGGGATGGGGAGGTGCAGAAGCGGAAGCAGAACCGGCAGGAGGTGGTGGTGTTTGACATTGATGAGACGCTGCTCTCCAACCTGCCATACCTGGAGACACATGGATATGGGTAAGATGCTGCCAGGTCGGGTAGCTGCAAGGTGCTGGGCCATGCAGTAAACACCAAGGGTTATGGTGGCTAACAATCTTGAGTCATGCGGCATTATCTTTCGCATCCTGGCTAGTGAGTTGGTTTGAATTTGAACAGGTATTGAGGCGCAGTCCTGGTATAGGCAGCGCGGTGTGAAAGGATTCAGGCACAGGAGTGGCGAACCAAGTAGTGTGATGCTCTGATGGTGATTGCACTCTTAGACGTTGCGCTGTAAAACTGTTTTTTGCTCTTTTTTTCGGCGCCTCTCAAGAGTCCCCTTACCGCCCCCCTCGTGCACCTGTGTGCATCAGGTCGGAGCCATACAACTCCTCCCAGTGGGCTGACTGGGTCCGCACCTCCTCCGCACCGCCACTGCCACCCGGCGTCGCGCTCGTCAGAGCCCTGCAGTCCAGTGCAAGCAGAGATCACATTCATGGTTATGGGCCTGCGAGCTATGGGGAGGAAAGGCACAGGGAGGAGGGCAGCGAGGGCACGAGCGGGCTGAGCGCAGCGCTGGTGACGGGGCGGCCTGAGTCCCAGCGAGCTGCCACTGTGGAAAACCTGAGGCGGGTTGGTGTGACTCAATGGAGGGTGCTCATGATGAGGTGAGACTGCAGATGTTAGGGGCATGGGACGAAAGAGTGGAGCTCGCGTCTGTGTGGGGGTGCGGAATTAGAGATCAGTGTGGGGGGGGGGGAAAGGGGGGGAGGGGGAAGTGGGGAGGGGAGATATGGTATGCGAGAGTGTAGACTCTAGCATTTGTTGGCCTTCGACTGTTGTGCTCTTGTCTGTCCTACTGTGCCCACGCCATGCCCCTGCAGGCCTCTGGACGCAAATGGCAATGTGGTGCGGGAGACAGCAGTGGAGTATAAGAGCAGGTGTAGGCGGGAAATAGAGGGCATGGGTATGAAGATTGTGGGAAGTGTGGGTGACCAATGGAGCGACATCACTGGCGATGCCACTGGCGATGGCACCTTCAAGCTACCAAGTCCTTTCTACTTCATTCCTTAGCATCTTTTGTATTTTTTCTCATCTCAAAATTAAGAGAGCAATTGTAGACGACATTCCTTGTGAAGACATGAGTTGCTGAAGGACTTGGTAATGGTAGTATCTAACATTTCCACCAGCGTCACTGTACTGAGTACACCCACGCCCTAACCTTGGTATGTGTTCGGCTCAGTTCGGGCCACTATGGGCGCCCTGATGAGGGTGTCAGGGCGCGTTACATTTCGGACCAAGGCGAGTTCAAGACTTGAACGTTCTAGGTGTAGATGTGGTTACCCTTTATGTAACTACTATACACCGCGATAATGTACCACGGGGGTCAAGACGCCTCGAATTGTAACTCCTGCCAAATCGAACGCCTGTTCTGAAAAGACGAATACCGCGTTCGAGTCTTTGTGCTAAAACTACGAGACTGAAGACAATCCCGCCTCACAAAGGCTGTCAACTTTCTTGCAAAGTTTTGCGGTTTCGTCAGGTTCGTTATGTCGCACATTTATTTTCTCAAACTTCAAAGGACGAACTGCGAGATGGTTCTTGTACCCGTGTCGCCTTGAACACGTGTATTGTGCACATTTGTTTCCAACGTCGGTAAAGCTCGGACAAACGGGATTTCGTTCGAAATTGCAGAAAAACAGATATTATCGGTCCGAAATGTAACGCGCCCTCAGATGATATCGATGCCTCCCAAGGGCCAAGTACAGTAGAGCCAAACCAAGGGAGCCCTGGCCTGGCCTGGAGCAGAAACAAGGGGGCCCTGGTATTGCAGATTTTATGATGGTGGTCGCATTGCAACCCAAGCTGCCTCGAGATAATTTCCAGGTCTGCTAGACTCAGGAGACCACCATTTTATCTATACCTGGTGTCACAATTCTAAACTTCTACTTCGATAGGTTAGACCGCTCGTCCCGTAACTTCAGCCCTTCCCCGGACGGCTGCTGTGTCGGCGCATTTGCTGCTGTTACTATCCCAGGAGTGGCCATATTGTGCACCACAACACGGGAACAGCTGGTGAAACTGGGAATGCGTGTCGCCATCGTGTTTTCCAGTAAATGATCTGACGTACGTCGCCCTCCTCTAAGTCAGCCTAATATCCCATCGCTCTTCTCCCGGACTCGCCACAACCCGTCCTCGCGACCTCTCGCACCCCGAACACGCATCCCAGCTCACGTCACCGCCATGTCCCTCGAAATCGCATCGGGCTCCGCTAAGCCGGCTCCTCCTCCTCCCATCCTCCTCTTCTCCCGGTCCATATGGAGCCAGCTATCTCGCTCGCAGCTCATCTACCTCCTAGTGGTGCAAGGCGTGGGATCCGCTATTCTGGACGCGGGAGCTAACTTCGGCATTGCCACGGCAATGTACCGAGGGTCGCCCGACCCCGTGCGCGTGTGGGAGCTGCCGAATAGCCTCGCTGGCGACGCCATTGTGACGATCATGATTCAGGGCGTGCTGACGTGGGTTATTGCGGGACTGCTGACTAGGTGAGATGGGGGGCTCGACAACGCTTACAGCAATGCACTTGGGAGAATGAGGCTAGTAGGAAGGCAAGAGGGTGTCCTGTGGGGGTATGTGGAGCTCTTGTTGTCGATGTGAATAGGTTTCGTGCTTTGGTGTTGCGTGCACGAGTCCTGAGACCTCCAGAGACCCGACTGTGGGGTTGACGTCACATCATGACCATGCCATTGACGAAACGCAGCCGTCTTCCAACCTGTGTGCATCTTCGCCATCACGCACACCCTTCCACATTCACACCACATGCACGTAGCTACCAATCCCCACCCTCTCCGTCTCTCTCGTTCCCGTGCGTTTCATTTGCACAGGCTGGATGTGAAAGCAGAGCGAATTGAGCCGATATTCTCCGAGCACGCACCGCGCCCTCTCCACGACCTCCCTGTTACTGTTTCTGGTGCAGCCAGCCCTCTTCCTGACAATCCTGCTGCTGCTGCTGTCGCTGATGCTGATAATAACAACGGCAGCAAGGTGGTGCCTGCCGATCCCCATCCCAGCGCGGAGGTTACAAGTAGCAGCGGCTGTAGCACATGGGCATGTTTCCGCTTTTTGGACTCAGTCGTGCGCTGGATCCTTTGTCAGGGAGACTTTGACTTTGTCGCATACAAGCCAAAGCCAGAGCCACCCCGCCATGTCCGCTTCTTCCACTCTGTTCTCCGGGGCGCAATGTGCTCTGCTCTCATTGCAATCCCATATTGGCCGTTATGCCTGATCCCCCTACTGGCTCTCTGGCATGGGAATGTCAACATACCAGACTGGCCAGGGCCCCAGATCTACAAGGCTGTGATGGCAGCAGTGCTAGGGTTCTTCATGACCCCGTTGGTTTCTATGGTCGGACTTCTAGAGGCTGGAAGATGCAGACTTGCCGACTTGCAGCAAATTTGAGGAAATGTTGAGAGGGATTCACTCAGCAGCCCTGCTTGCACTTTACTCATATACTTTCCTGGTTGCAGTATATACGTGTTATGGCGCATAGAATCTGTGAATGAAAGCTTTCATAAATATTTTTATGGGGGATGTTTTTATGTTTCGATATCCAGTCATGAGAGGTTTTCAACCAAGCTCATTTCTAGGCTGTGACATTTGTATCGGAATGGCGCGGAACACCTGGCTTCGGGATGGCGGGCAGGGGACCACTTGCGTCGACCAACATCCACTGATAGGTGGCCGCGTTTTCTCCATTTTCCCTCCACCCCAGCAGTGCTGACTGGGATTCCTGAATCCTGACATGCAAGGAGGCCAGAAATGGGCTTTCCCATCAGCAGCTAAACGAGCCCTGAAATAGGGGCGTCAATTTTTTTCGTGCCTGCCTTTTTGTCGACCCTGGTTCGCCCAACGACATTCGGGAAATTTGGCGAAGGGCGATCAAATTGAGAACCACAAATCAAACATGCGCCAAGCGTCGGCAGGCAAGAGCCGATTTGCACTCGCCGGTGGAACATTGTCCGTGTTCTGTCGCGTCTCAGCAAATCGCGAAATCCTGGCGACATTGACGAAACCTATGACTGACACAATTTTTTTGGTATGCGATTCGTGTTCAGAAAAATGTTACACCTCCTAAGCACTTCACGCGGACTAGCCAATGCTCCCGAACCAACCCATCTCCTTCACGCATGTGTACTGGAGTGGTGAAGCCTTCCATGTTCTATCACTTCACCCCATTCAATCAGATGGCATCCCATCCCAACCTCATCCCACCCAACCCCATCACCGTTCCTGTTTTCTTGATGCGACGATGCAATGCAAGGTACACGCGACCGCATTTTTTCAGCTTGGTGTGAACTTGTGCGCTTGTCTCTGACGACGACTATCACGATGCTAAGGATTCTAGGAGAATAGGAAGGGACATGGCTCTCCGTCGCAGATGGAGACTTCATCTCTTGTGGAACATGGCTCTCGGTTGCATGTCATGCGGTTCTCACCAAACCGCCATGTAAAAGAATACGACGAAAGGTTCGTCGCGACTCGTCTTCGTCATTCTGCGGCTGGAAAATTCAAGCGAGACAGTGCGTCGCGTTCAAGCTAGGTGCTCATACCATCCGTTGGAGCGAGCTTGCACTATCCCCACATCGCGCTAGATCTTTGTGCCCCCCGACATGCTCGCTCGCTCTTTGCCTTCGCTTTTCTGCCACCTCATGTTTCTGCCACCTCATGTTTCTGCCACTGCGCGTGTCGGCTGATTCCTCACATGGACACTGTACCGCCGCCATGGGTCGCGCTTTGTCGACCATCAGAGTCTTCGCTTGCATTTTGTGTGCGTCTGCGTTTTATTGATTCGTTTACTATTTGCTGTGCCTCTGCACCATGCTGCAGCCGCGAAGCCTCTTGCTGCTCGTCCGTCACAGAGAACCGAGCCGAGCATTAGTGTCCTTACTGCATTCCTTCGCCTTCGTTCATCCTGCCAGGATGCGGGCATTCTTTTCATATCCCAAATCTTTTGATGGGAGCAGCTGTGTTACAATGCCTGTCCCTCCCTCCCCCCCGTTCAATTCTCCCACCCTCCCCCGCCCTGCCTGCCCTTCTCCCTCTCCACCCGCGCCCCCCCTTACCCCACCCCCTTACTCTGTCCCCCAATCAGCTGGCCTCTGCTAACAGGGGTAAGTACGGGTCGCTTATTACCATATCGCGCCCACAGATGGGTTTCCTGGCGCGAGTCAACGGTTCCCCCATGTACTGCTCTTTGCCTAGGGGCGTGTATCATGTGCAAGGAAAACGACGTCACCCGACGTCCCAACGAGGTTCAGTACGTTTCCGCGCGATTGAAAAGCTGGCTGTGCGTTCGGAAGCGGTGACTCGACGTCAAACCGTGATGTCGTGCTATTCGAGCTACTTAGATACACCCCCTAGGGTCGTCCAGCAGGCTGCTTTTAGCGCGGATGAGAAGGTGCTGGGAGAAGTTCCGCACCGCAGCACTCCGTCCTCGCCTGCACGATGTCGGACGATCGAGGATGATGGGATGGGAGAAGCTCCGTGCTCGTAGCAGAAATGTGCTTTGGAGTACAAAACTGTACGTGTGGGAGGTGGATTTCTACATGCCGTTTAGCTTTTGATCGCCGTGGTTTCGGTGATGGGATGAAAGAAGGGGAGATTACTTCCGCTGTGCCGTATCTATACTGTTAAGATCTGTGTGGTACGTAGGAACGCCTGGTACGAAAGCATAATTTCTCATGCAGGTCTCATTAGTGAGACACTAATAAATTTCCTCATTTCCTAAGGATACCATACACCACCTACGCAACTCAGCTAACCCTGCTCCTATCTCCGGCCCTGAACGCTGTATTTCAAAACGCCGTGGCCATGGCGGCAGCGGCGGACGGAGCGAGGAACTCAACCGTCAAGAGGTCGCAGCGAACGTCAGCGTCAACCGGCCGTCTGAGCATGAGCGTCAGGTCGAGCTCCAGGATCTGGACGTTCTGCGCGTCCAGATCCGCGCACGTCAGCTCCAGCTCGTCCCAGCTCCTACACGACAGCGTGCTTCGCAGCGAGCTCGCCTGCCCGAACTCCCGCCGAGCAATTTCGTCGCAGCTGTCGTCGCCCATGGAATCGTCCCGGGCGACGTGCGACGATGTCGCCCCCCCCTCAGCGACGTCTCTTGCGTCCGTGTCGCGGGGTTCGGTCTCGGAAACGCTCGAGTTGCGGCTGGCTTTCAGGCTTGTCTTGCTTCGGCTGCGGGAGCAGGTGCACGACTCGAGGTGGCACTCGCCGCCATCCACGTCGTCGTCGTCGGCCGCGCAGCCGCCATCCCCGTCGGCGCACAGCTGCGCCGCCATAAACTCCTCCAGATCTAGCAGCTCGTTCTCCGCTTCCTCCTCTTCGTCGCCACCGTCGTCGCTGCCCAACGCGGGGTCCTCGAAAGGGTAACAAGGGACGGTCCCGTCAGCGGTAGGAGTTTCAAGACTGTCGTCGCCAGAGTCGAGAATGTCGGCGTCGGTCAAGTCAGGCGTGGGGACTGAGACCTTGGCGAAATGGCACGAGGCGAAGGAGTTGCGTGGGGCGAAGAGCCTTCGTGCAATGCCGCCGCGGAAAACGGGTGATGCCGTGCTCAGATCTTGCCTTGAGCAGCTACCGTAATCCATGGCTTCCGTTTGATGAGTTGTTTCCTCGCAGCAAGCCGCGGAGCCGCTCGTTCTAGCGAGCAGCTCGCGCTTAGTGAGGATCTCCCCTAGTGCTGCTCGCAGGTCGTCGGCGTTTACTGGAAACGACATTTTGCGCTAGAGAAAGAATGCTACCAAGAGCCGATGAAATGAGGAAAGGAGCGTCTTTGGAAATCACTGATGCTACCATGAGTTTTTCAAGGCAAGGGTTAATATCTGAAGAAGAGTGGCGGTTGAGAATAGGCTATCATTCGCGAAGCTGAACCGACGGAAGAAGCAGTGCCTGCCAGCTGTGGGAGGACGATGACCTGAGGAGGACAAGTGGTAGGGTCGATTGAGGACAAATGGCTGGCGGCGAGGGACCTCACCTCACGCACGAAGAGGAGCACCACCAGTAAGGAGAATGGAACGGGGCCGATCGCGCAACGAGTGGTGGTTGGAATTGGAAGGGTGGACGGGAGGAAGTGCTGTCGCCCTCAAGCCGAGCTGATCCGAGACGAGACGTGAGGAGAGCTGGAAGTTCGCGGAACTGAATTTGGAAAACGGGCGGGGCGGCGGAGCTGATGGGGGACGGAGGGTGGGGAGGGAGGGGGGCTAGTGGGGGAAAGAGCAGTGGGAGTTAAGCAGTCCAAGCCAAGTGGGCTGGCGGATGCTGCGCGGCGGTGTCTTGAGCCGCGCCGTTTGGTGGTTCCCCGAGATGTGGCGCCGATAGGAAACAACAGATTCAAAGGGTGGAGGGAGGGGAGGGGACACATGGTCTTGTGTGGTGCAATCCTCCAATGTGTGCGTTTGTGTGCCAGGTCCTGATTGTCAGGCCACCCTGAACTGTAAGGGTTCGGGTGACCTTACCCTGGATGATCAGGGAACCTGCTGTGCACAGGAGAGAAGGAATATATGAGGTACAGTACTGGAATCAGGAAATTCCAATCCCGAGTTGAATTCCATGTCGGGCGCTACTGGGTGGAGCAGCTTACCCCACTGCTGCTGATTGTGCTGCTGAACTGCGCCGACAGAGGAATCAGCTTTTCTGTTTTTCTATCAGCCAGGAATTTTTCTGTTTGTAGACTCTATCAGAATAGTTACTCTTCCGTTAAGGACAATCTGTTTTTCATAATTTCCCCGTTCTGAACTGTACTCCCACAGTCAGTTCTCTGCGACAATTAGATGCGACGCAGAACAGTCCATGGATTGAGTTTCGAACCAAAGGGTCAGTCCAATGATGGTTTGGGCAGGATAATCCGTGTTCTCCAGTAGTGACGTTTACCTTCGGTTGAAAGGGCTTCGTGTCCTTTTGTTGTTCCACTGTGTACAGAATTAGACTTAGGACATGTCACTAAAAATCATTTTGGCAAAATACCATACTGAACCGTTCTTACTTTTTATTGACCGTTCTAGAACGCAAAAACTCTTTCCGAACCGTAATCGGACGTACTTTAGTGACACGCCCACAGATGCTTACAATGTCAGTCCTAGCTCATGCTGAATTGAGAACTGCATTGCTACTACCACATGTTTATGTAACCTCCTTGTTGATTGCCAAAAACATTTCTGAGTGCCCTGAGCATCACATTTCATCCCGAATGTTAGTGGTTTGGTTTGATCCCCTTGAGTCGTTTCGACTTGGAAATGTACACGAGATCTACGCACAGAAATATCTACTGTTACAGCGATTCGTCTGTAGGGAAGTTTTGTCTTCGCTTATTCTGTCAGTTGGCAGAAGTTACAAATCAGATGGTGACTGACGGGGTGACCATGGGGCAAATGTTCATTACAGCACGAATTGGCGATCGAATCCAAATCATGCTCATACTGCGGCATGGTGCCCCACGACACGACACAAGCAGCGCATGTGAACAAGACGACTGTGGCAGAGAACACTTCTGACCGTTCACGGACTCTCACGGCGGCAGTGGCCGCAAACATTGCCACGTGTGTTGGCGCTGCCGAACGATTGGTTGTAACAAATTGGAGAATCCAGTCCGTCCGTTTGCTGCTCCTCGAAAATTAGAGCCTTCTGCATACTCGTCCACGAAGCATTTCAAGCTTCAACACCCCTGTGGAAACCTTCATTCCTAGGTTGTAGACCACTCAACCTCAAGCATAGTACCGTATGCGAGCAAAACGCAGCTATGTACGATAGTGAGCTTATTTCATCTTAAACTGCATGCTTCAAGCATTGAAAACCCTATCCTGGGTTGGGTGCATCAGGACGTGAATGGAAACGTGCGTGTTAAAAAGAGTTTCCATGCAAGATGGTTGGGTTGGGGTCCACTGCACTGGCTATTATTTAGTTGGTCGTGGGGAAAGGGATGGGGATCAGGCCCTTGGTTTTGGGTCACGCTGATTCATCATCCTTGCCCCTGTTGGAAATGATAAAATGACTTAAGGCAGTTTCGGAATCTCGCGTAAGTGTACGAAATACGCGAAGACTACAACAGCGAGGATTACCGAGTCAACATTGCTACAGTACCCCTGACGATTCACGCAGATTGACGACACCCCACAGAGGTTACGAAATGGCAACGGTCGCAGACCGTTGACCGTGCAACTCAACAGTCATAATTGCAAGAGTCAAGAGTCAGCGCGACAGCAAGGACGAATAACCGTTCCGATATTAGAGTACGGGTGGTTACCCGAATCGCCTTATCAAATCGTATAAGGGAATGTATGTACCCCTCGAAGTGCACAAATAGTTAGACTCTTCATATCCTCTTGTATTATTATATAAGCCTTGTATTATTTTGCGATAATCAATTATTTTGTTCTCATATACCAGTACAACGGTTCAACTCAAGACTTCCGCTGTGCTATCAAGCACTCTGATACAAGGACTTAGCATTCTGAAAATATCATAGGGCTATTCTCAGTCCAACATGGTATGAGACCTAGTTAGAAGCTACACTCCTGTTCCAAACTCCCTCAGTGCGTTTCGTACTTGTTTCAAGATTCACTTACAACAAGGTCAGTTCATCAATTCAAGATTACAAGGCATGGAACCATCTAAGGGCGACATATCCTCTACTGGATCCCCCTCTGCACCCCCAGGACTACAGACTGAGGCAGTTGCAGCTGCAAGAGCCTCCACGCAACCAGTGGCCTCCTCCTTGGGCATGGATCCGAACCTGATGGAGATTTCTTTCTCTTTCAGGTCGACCTACGAGCAGCCCTCGGCACCTACTCAATCAGCACACAGCAACAACAACAGTAGGGCACTCCCCATGGATCTCGACGTCGCATCATATGCAAGAGGCGTACAACCTACACAATATCAACCGTACCAGCCTTCGCCAAACTCATTCACCTTCCTGCCAACTCCCACGCCGGCAGTGGACTCAACGACGGCTGACAAGCAATTAGACATCGTCACCATGCAACAGCACTTTAACATAATTATGAAATTGTAGACGTCCTCACCTTTCAACGGGAAAGACTTCTTTGCGTGAAGCTTCGAGTTCGAATTGCTGATGGACGACGCGCAAATCCCCGGCTTCTTCAGCGGCTCCTGGCCATTTCCTTTAAACGGGACTACTCAGGAAAAGAAAGTCTATACTTATCAGTCACTGATGCCTTCACCGTTCTCTTACGCAACCTGACAGCAACAGAGCAGCAAAGCATCAGAACATATCGCAATTTCGGCAACTCAGCAGAATTGGCATACAGCCACCTGAAGAGCGTCTACCAGGCAACTGACAGCGTAACACTAAGCCGACTGATGGCTCAACTCACGAAAATCAAGATGCAACCAGGATAAAAAGCAATGCCTTACATCAATCACTGTCAAAGTCTTACGAAGCGGAGGGCACTTAACGGAAGACTCGTTCGTCACGGTCTCCTCGCCGGCCTCGACCCACAGTGACGCACGACGCACTCCCTTCTATGCGCTCACGGGCGAATTTCTGAAATGCACCTATGCGCGGAGTTCCATGCCGAGCAGCAAGACATGGACCTGTACAAAGAGAGTCATGCCAAGAAACCAAGTCAACAACTCGCGTTCTACGCGCACAGGCGCAACCACAACAATGACAGCATTCATAAATGACACTCACCTCCGTATTGTCAACGATGCCGCACGACGGGACACTCGCGCTTCAACTGTCTGATGCAGCAGCAGCAGCAACGGCAGCAGCCGCAGTTCTCACAGTATCAACCCCGAGCGTCACGTCCGTCACCGAATCCGGCCACTTCAACTCAACAGCGCCCAATAGCTCCGACGAATCGCTCAGCACAAGACGCAAGGAACGTCGTCAGTTGTATGGCTCGAACGGATTTCTGTGTACCCGACTCTCTGCCTCACAGTTCTGTCGATGAACAAACCCCCGCTCTGACACAGATCAGGCTCCAACCAAACCGGACTTACACTGCCATTGCTCTCGACGAACCATCCGGTTGTGAAGTCTTCATCACTGTCGCCAACAACCAGAACTTGCGAACAAGGAAGGAAGGCGTCATTCAGTTACTGTCAAGTGAGACAAATGTGATAATACAAATGTTACGAGTACTCGTCGTCGACAACCTTGGCTACAACCTCCTAAGCGTCAGCCAGCTGATGTCAAAAGGAATTCACCTGGAGTGTGACAGCAAGAGTTCCGACTCTACCACGGGAAGGATGGACTCTTCATCAGCAGAGCCATCCAGAAGCATGGCGTATTCATCTTGGACTTCGTTCCAGACCGCGGGACCACCGACAGTGACGGCGTCGTCTCCTTTGCGCCCTGGATACACCCACCAGATCTCGATCCTGGATTCGACCGCGATGGCTTCTGGTGCTCCAATACCATACCTAAAGTAGAGAGCACACGAGCATTAGCAATGATGTAAGAAGCAGTAGAACAGGAACGGGAAGCAGAGGAAGCAGAAGCTGTTATACAATACGAAGCAAAATCGCAAGCACCGACAAGACCACTTCCTGCAAATCCTAACACTGGGTCGGCACCACCCGTCGAGAAGCTCCGCCTGAACCGGAAACTGTTGACGAGTCACCACCGACCGATGCCGAGCAGCTGAAGGTGCATCCTCGTGAGTAGCATCAAAGCGCCACGACCGTCTCCGCCTTCTACGCCAATTCGGAACTGTACCGTCGATCTGCGGGGCACAAAGCAAGCGAAGAGACATGGCATCAACGGTTAGGGCATCCTGGAAATTCAAGACGATTTGACACGATCCAGGCGAATGTCCTAGACAAAGATGCACTTATATTGCTCGATGGACGCGAACTTCGCTGACCACAGCATACCTGCTTCATCTACCCGGAAGCAGATCTTCCTCATCAACCATTTTTGTTGCATCACAACCCAAGCTCACCAGAGTAGACTCCACTCGAGAAAGTCTACAGCGATATACTCTACATTCCATGAGAAGTCGGCCGGGCCGACCTCAACTACGTTATCACTTTCGTCGACACTGCGACACAATACACTTGGCATCTTAACTTGCCGTCACGCGACCTTGCATTTTCCGCCTTCATCGCATGGCTTGCTGCAGCAGAACGGGAGGGAGACACGAAGCTGAAATGTTTTCCGTCAGACGGGGCGATGGAATACCAGTCACTGCGCAACACCTAGAAACTAATCCCAATCTCTCAAACCAAGGGAAAAACAATCCTGACGGGGAAATGGGTCTTCCGAGTAAAGACCAAAGGAGATGGTACCATCGATCGCTTCAAGGCACAATGGGTCATTCGCGGATTCGAACAGCAGTACGGCAGCGACTACACAGAGACGTTCGCTCCTGTCTGATGCCACACTTCCCTTCGAATCCTCCTCGTTGTTGTCGCCGCTCGCCAACTTCCACTGCGACAAATCGACGTCGCCACCGCATTCCTCTATGCTATGTCGACGCTGACATCTTCGTCGAGCAGCCCCATGCCTATGTTGACAATCCAACGATGGTCTGCCAGCAACTCAAATCCCTCTACGGGATCAAGCAGGCCCCGCGCCGGTGGCAGCAATATCTCCATCGCATCCTAACCGACATGGGCTTCACCCAACTCCCGCACGGCCAGGGCATGTATCACTTGTCACGCAGCGGCGACTACATCCTGCTGATCGTGTACGTGGACGACCTACTGTATGTCGGCTCCACTACCTCCATCACCGTCTGGTTCGAGGGCGAGCTGGAACTCCAGCTCACGATCATGGTGTCGCCGACCGTGACGCAATACATCGGCCTCAACGTCACCAATGGCTCCGACACCATCCATCTCTCGGCCTCAAAGTACACCGAAACCATCGCTCGCAGATTCAATCTGTCCCCGCTACCTCTGGCTACTCCGTACACCTACGCGCCACCAGCACCCGCGTCGACCATCTCGCTACTCGCACCGGCCAATATCCAGGAGCACCAGCAGAAACTTGGTTGTCTGCTATTCGCCATCGTCACCTGCCATCTTGACCTCTCCTATGCTGCTAGCCAGCTTGCTACCTACCTTAAGCGATCGGAAGGGGGGAATCTGACGGAACTCGACCACGCACTCCACTACTTCGTCTCGACCCAGACGATCGGACTAACCTACCAAAAGAACGCCGCTACCAAACTCGATCTCAGCGGCTACGTCGACGCCGATCACGCCGGCGACAAGGAAAACCGCCGCTCAAGCACGGGCTACATCTACCGTCTGGAACCTATCGGCACTATTTCTGGGCACTCAGGAAAGCAGAAACTAGTCGCTCTCTCATCCGCTGAAGCAGAATATATCGCCCTCTGCACAGCCATCAAGGAAGGAGTATAGTTGCGTGAGCTGCTCAAAGAAGCGAAGGTCGCCGAGTTACCGAGCTTCTCTCTCTACTACGACAACCAATCGGCAATTAGAATCGCCAACAAAAATGGATTCGCGAACAGGACGAAGCACATCTCGCTTTGTTACTTCTTCGTGAAAGACGAGATCGAGCAGGGTCGCCTCCAATTGGTCTACTTCCCTACCATTGAAATGGCAGCCGACTACTTGACGAAGAAGCTCATGAAGGCCAAGTTCCAGTACTGCATGCTACTGACTGGACTGCAACACGTCAGTGACCTCGACCACATCGACACTCCAGAAATGAAGGAGGGTGTTGGAAATGATAAAAGGACTTAAGGCAATTCCAGAGTCTCGCGTGAGTGTACGAAATACGCGAAGACTACAACAGTGAGGATTACTGAGTCAACACTGCTACAGTACCCCTGACAATTCACACAGATTGACGACACCTCATAGAGGTTACCAAAAGGGCAACGGTCGTAGACCGTTGACCGTGCAACTCAATAGTCAGAATCGAAAGAGTCAAGAGTCAGCGCGACAGTAAGGACAAATAACCGTCCCGATATTACAGTACGGGTGGTTACCTAAGTCGCCTTATCGAATCGTAAAAGGGAATGTACACCTCGACGTGCACAAACAGTTAGACTCTTCATATCCTCTTGTATTATTATATAAGCCTTGTATTATTTTGCTATAATCAATTATTTTGTTCTCATATACCAGTACAAGGGTTCAACTCAAGACTTCCGCTGTGCTATCAAGCACTCTGTTACAAGGACTTCGCATTCTGAAAAGGTCCTAGGGTAATTCTCAGCCCAACAGCCCCCTGCATTTAGGCTGATTTTGCAGCCTTGTCCCTAGAAAAAAGGCTGAAATGTTCAGCTTCACAAAAAAATAAAGGTTGACCAATCAGCGTTAGTTATAAAAAAAAATGTTGCACATCTTAATGATTTATCAGGAATTGACGTCGACTTTCAATAACGAGGCTAACGATTGCCTAAAGCACTTGAAATGCCAGTGATTGGTTGGAGGAATGTTATTTCAATCAATACCAATCGCATCTGAGAAGCCCATGTGTTTTCGCGCCGGCGTGACTGGCGCAGGGGTCTGAGTGGTTGCAATAGTTTTGGTTTTCACACGCTCTTCAGGGCTAGTGGGGGGTAAGTTTTAGGGGTGTTACTGGTTGCGGGGGATGTGACATGGGTGTGACTGGTTTCTAAGGACTTGGACGAATTCTCCTGGGTTGGGGGGGTTACGAGAGGGGTGTGACTGACTGGTTTCCGAGAACTTCAAACGAATTCTTACGGGTTGCCAAGGGTATGAGAGGGGTGTGACTGATTTTCGAGGACTTGGACAAAATATTTTGAGCTGCCGAGGGTATGAGGGGGGTGTGACTGGTTTTCTAGGACTAAACAAAACTTTTGACGGGTATGTGTGACTGGATGCAGTAATCAAGGGGGGACGCAAATCTCGTTGAACTCGGTTTCAGACTTCCCCGGAGAGACTTAGCTGAAACATCAGCCAACACCCCACCAAAAACGGTGACATCATCAGACATTCGACTAAGTCGTCTTATTCTATTTTGAAACGTTTTTCATGCACTGTACGCCACATTTCAAATGTGTACATAAGAATGGCTTCTGCAATTATCCTTTTTGTTATACTCTTGAAATATAGCATTACTAGTTTAATGCAAATACCACTCAATATGCTACTTCTCTTTTTTTAAATGGAAATTACATTATACAGAAGATACAATGCAATTGATGTCATAATGTATAGTTGATGCTAGTGCAAAAAGTTTGATGTGCTCGAACGTCGTCAGTAGAGATTGATCTAGAGACATGCTGGATAATATGACAGACTGAGAGTTGCGCTAATCGGTCAGATTCACGAAAATCGGAGTTGTATAATTCACTCATAAAGTTTCTTTTGACTTCTCACTTCTCTCTTCTCTAGCGCTGCTGACATTCTCGACCTTTGTAAGCTTACGCAACTTTTTGTCTGGTAGGATGGCTGGTAGTTTTCCTAGGCATTGCGAATTAGTGGGGTAGCCCATTTTTTCGTGCATGCGATTTCGACCTAGTTGTCTTGGTAGTTCTTCATTCATGCAAGCCATAGCGGTCTATTCTGCTTGGTCGTGTCTTAGATTCTTGCGTCTTGATTGGTAAGCCGTATTTTCATTCTCCGTATTTACCTCTCCTTCCTTACACTTCCTATTCCTTCGTTTCTCCTACCAAATATTTTCTTGCCTTGACTTTCTCTTTCATGTGCCCTCAGATTCATTGGCAGTTCTCACTTGCATGTCTGCCACACCTAACATCAACCCACAAAAGGTAAGATTTCTGGGTAACTAATACGAAAATCAAACATATTTCCCTCGATATTTTCGAAGGTCAATGTTGCTGAAGTTCTTGTTCCTTGGCTGCAATTCCATGCTAGTCTACAATGGTGCCACCTAAAATTGTCATTACCTTCTCTCTCTCTCTCTCTCTCTCTCTCTCTCTCTCTCTCTCTCTCTCTCTCTCTCTCTCTCTCTCTACCTCTCTCCCTCTACCCCTATCTCTCTACCTATCTCTCCCTCTCTTCCCCTCTCTCTCTCTCTCTCTCTCCCTCTCTCTCTCTCTCTCTCTCTCTCTCTCTCTCTCCCTCTCTCTCTCTCTCTCGCTCTCTCTCTCTCTCTCTCTCTCTCTCTCTCTCTCTCTCTCTCTCTCTCTCTCTACCTCTTTCCCTCTCTCTCTCTCTCTCTCTCTCTCTCTCTCTCTCTCTCTACCTCTCTCTCTCTCTCTCTCTCTCTCTCTCTCTCTCTCTCTCTCTCTCTCTCTCTCTCTCTCTCTCTCTCTCTCTCTCTCTCTCTCTTGAACGGTCCTTCGTATTAGCCTTATAATGGGTACAAATGGCATACACGAGTTTATGTGAGTCATGGGGCTCCAAGGCATCCTACTGCTGCCCCGGCCACCCCTCGAAGGTAGGTTCAATCATCGATTTGAGATCCTCCCAGGTAAGTGGCTCGTCCATGGGACGCTCGTGGTGGAAGGCTCCACCGGACGCGTGCCCTATCTTCGCGTGCAAGGTAATAGCCTGTTGTCTCTGTAGTGTCAGTGACCACCTCTGTTGGAATGAGTGTATCAGCTTCTTGGTCATAGCGGATTTCTCATCCCGCAGGGTGATTCTCTCCGGCGGCTACTACCGCAAGCAGGTGGAGGAGTTCCCGGGTTTCGGTGCTGCAGCAGCAATATGTTTCCATCGCCATCCCAAGGACTTTGACGAAGGTGGGTCTTTCATCGTACAAGTCCCTTTTCTTCTCCTGCATCTCAGCCACCATCCATCCTGTCCCGTTCCTTGCTGTTGGGTCCCGGGAGGAGATGGGGTCGGTTACGGTGACGTCGCAAACCCATACCATGCCTGAATCCGGTTCTCGGAGGGTGAGGTCGGAGCGGCGTTGGGTCGTCTCGGGCAGGTACAGTGTGGACTCGGTGTGTATCACGAAGTGGGCCTCCTTGGCGAGGCTTGCCCCCAGATTAACCAGGGCATTGTGGACTCGGATGGGCCCTCCCCTGAGGGTGCATCTTAGAGGTGGTTGGGCAGCCGATTGTTCTTGAGTTTCTTCTCCCTGCAGTTGCAGTTGTCGGGCAGGGAGTGCTGCAGCCCCATCCAGAAGGCCAGGGCTGTGGCCTACTGGCCTTTGCTCATGGTGAGGTGGCTAGAAGCCAGTCTCCCGCCCCCAGCCCTAGTAGCATCAGCAGGCGCTGGGTGTGGCCGAGGTACGGGTTGAGTGTCATGGCTCTGGTGGCGGCGACCAGTTGTGCGTGGCGAGCCTCGTGCACTTCTAGCGCGAGGGCGTGTTGCAGCTTGGCGCCGGTCCCATCTCTTGGCTCGTGCAGGATGGCTCACGCGGGTTCAGGTAAGGTGTTTTCCAGGTGTGTTAGGAGGAAGTGGAGCGGGATGGGGACCGAGTAAGGGGGGTTGAGGAGGTCCCTTATGGTCCCTAGGGGGGACAGGGGTGGCGGGTTGATGGAGCTGAGGAGGTCTCCTGCGGCGGCGGTGGAGGCCAGGTAGGCATAGTCTCCTTCCACCAAGGGGTCCAGGAGGCCCAGTCCTCCTATGGATATCGGCAGCGTGGCCTCGTTCCACAGGAGGGTCTGATCCTCCTGTTTGTGCGACTGCTGCAGGTCGCAGGTGGCCAATGCGGCGGCCAGCAGCCGTTCGCCCCATGCGATCCAGTCTTGGGTGGGCAGCGTGCGGGGGGGTGTCATGCGCAGTAGGTAGGATGCCCTGTGGGTGATGCATCGTTTCACGAGCAGCAAGGCGGTTTGCGGGTCCAGCTGCTCGATCAGTGGCAGTGCAGAGGAGGCCTTGAGCAGGGCTGCTTTCATCTGGAGGATGCAGCTTTGGGGCGTCCCTATCGGGCTGCCAAGGAACTTGACGGCGTCCTTCCTGAGGGGGACGCCAGCTGGGATGAGGTCGGGTTCGACGTCCTTCGCCGACCATGTCCCGCACTTCGCGGGGTTGCAGGTCAGGTCCACCTCCGCAATGCCTCCGCAGAAGGTGTAAAACGCCGACGCGCACTTGGACGGTGCACTGATGAAGGTGACGTCGTCCGTGTACGCCAACATCAGCACGCCTGGGTGAGCCTCCGCCGTCTGCAGCAGCGCAGGGTGTATGGCGAGGGCGAACAGCAGTGGCCCTAGTCGGTCCCCCTGCCGTACCCCGCGCTCGCTGCTCAGGGACGGGACGCCATACGCGGGGTCGAGCAGCAGCTCCGACGGCCTGCCATAGGACAGGCTCACTAGAGGTAGGAGGCCTTTCAGGGGGCTGTCCCGTAGGGCCGCGAAGAAGGCAAGGCGTTCAACGCTGTTGAACGCGTTTGTCATATCCACCTGCAGCACCATGTGGTCGGGGTGGAGCTGCAGGTGCATTTGCCCAGAGTGTATCACGGTCTTCCCTCCTCCCTTCACCGCCACCCCGTACTGCAGCGGCAGAAAATGCTGATTGGCGATGGCAGAGTTGTGGGCGAGCCCAGCCTTGCTGATGACGGGGTAGAGGCACTCCCCGACTGCGATAGGGTGGACCCCTCCGTCCGGCTTGCGGAAGGCGAGTGGCCGGGATGTGGTCAGGATTTGCACCGCCTCCTCCGGCATGTTTCCCGCGAGTGTCTCATTCACCAGCGCCGTGAGGTGCTGGAGTAGGTCGGCGTTGGTGACTGCAGCTGCATGAATGTGCTCGAAGCACATTTCTGTGGGGCCCACCCCAACGCCATTGGGGCAGCACCGCAGCAGCGTCTTCAGGTCGGCGACGCTGATCTTTTGGCGTTTCGCGGCGTCTTGCCCCTCCTCGCTGTCCGCGATTCTTGAAATGGCGGCTTCAGGAGTGGCAACAGCGGCGGCAGCAGTTGAGCTGATTCGGTGCTTGGGTTGGGTCCAGCTGGGAAGGGCGCGTTCCGCTGCTGGGTGTTTAGCCCTAAGTGCTAGGAGGGTTTCTTCGGAGGGCTCGCAAATAGGCGTGGATTCAAGCGCCTGCAGTGCCTTCCGAAGGTTCCCCCGCTTTGTTATGGTTTCTGCCCTGGCAAGGTGCCTTGCGACGTCGTTCGCGTGGCGCGGGGCTTGTGGTAACGCAGCAGAGGCGATCGCCTCGTCGTAGAGTTTACCCCAATCCCCTGTGACGAAGGACCGCAGCCACTGTAACAATGAGTCCCAGTCCGGCTTGCGTGTCGTCACTGTCGCCAGCGTCAGTCGTGGGAGAAAAAGTAACAGTCTCCATCCGTTTGGCGAATTCTTGGTGCCCGCCAGGTGCAGTAGTGGCTTCAGGAGACACGACGCGAAGGCCGCTAGGACTTTGCGAGGGAGGCGATGAGCCAGGGGTGGGAAGCGAGGGTCTCGCAGGAGGGCGAGTTTCCATTCGCCAATTTTCGTGAACAGGTCATGGGGTTTTGCGAGTGTCAGGGGTGACACAATCTGTTAGGCAGGTGTTGACCGGCGGGGACCAGCCGCACCGCGGCGGGTGTTGGATGGGGCAGTTCGCCGGTTGGAATGAGCTGACACATTCATGCCTCGGGCAAGGGGTTCTTCCTATTCTTCACCTTTTGAGTCGCCTTCCTGATTTACCCCCTCTGGAGGGTAATAATTGGGGTCATTTACGATGGAAAAATCATTGTCTGCTGCCTCTTCCTCTTCTTCCCCATTTGTGTCCTTCCAGCCTCTAGCTGCTCCAGCCGCTGTGTCTGAGCCCTCGCATGGGTCCCTTAGTCCGAATTCCGTGTCCGTCTGCTCTGCGCTCCCAGTGCTTCCCCCGCTCGCCCCCCTTCCTACACCAGTACGCTCGCTGGTTGCAGGGTGTGTGGTTGCGTCGAGTCTCGTCGCCTCGTGCTGCAGCCTCGTCGCTTGTAACGGAAGGTGCGGCCGCCTGTTGTCGTGCCTGCACGGGCTCACCGTGCTTGTTTTCGAGCGCCGCCTCGTCCTTAAGCCGCTGCCCAGTTCTGCCTTTTTGGCGCGGTCTCCCGCTCGCCCGCGCCAGTGTTCTCTGGGTGCTTGGTCTGCCGTGCTGTCATGTCACGTGGGGATGACTCAGGGACTGCTGCTGTCCCCGTCAGGTCGCCCTTTGCACGAGGGGGCGGCTTCTCCGGCGCCGGTTGGGTCTTCCTCCGGCGTGTTGTGCGTGTTGTCTCCAACGTCTGAGTTGCGGATGGAGCTTTGTGAGCAGGGGGCGCAGGTTGCCGCCCTGAAGCACCCACTCTAGCATTTGCAGCACTTGCAGCCCTTGGTGGTAGTGGGCCCGCATCCGCCTTGTACTGGCTCCCCTCCGTCGGGTTCGCGCATGGGATCTCCCTTGTGTCTATTGCCTCCACGTTCAACGCTTCCTGGACCCTTGCTGCGGTTCCCTCCTCCGCCGCTCCAATCCCCTCCGCCTCCTCAGCCCCCGCCGTCGCAGTCGTCCCCCCCCCCCCCCCCCCCCCCTCTTCAGCCCTCCCTCCCGTCGTTGCCGCCGCCACGGGGCGGGTGTGTCGCTGCTGCCCCTCCATCCACTCCTGCGTCTCAGCCGCCTCCTCCTCCTCCGCCTCAGCCAGTGGCACCACCAGCCGCTGGCAGATGTGGCGGCGTTGGGGGTCCGGGCATTGCCATCGCCTCTCCCCCGGAGCCCTCCCGTCCATCCAAGCGCCTCCGCGAGGGCGTTCTGTCGGGTTCTCCGCCAGCGTCAAGTCCTCCCTCGTTGCCCGAAAGACGAAGGCCTCTTCCTCCACCTCCCCCGGACCCCCCTCAGGGTGCGGGTCGGGGAGCTGTGCGGAGTCAGCCGTTGTCCTCGTTGGCGTCGCGGGGCGGTGTCGCGTCTCGCCGCCTCCCGCCTCCCGTGCCAGCTCCTTCCCCGTCCCTCTCAGCGGTCGAGGCGATACATGGCGTCGTCGCATGTATCGGCGTTGTGGCAGAGCTGTTGGACTGCCTCCGCCCCCCTCCCATTCCTGTGCCTCCGCGGAAGCCCGAGGCTGGGCGGTCATGGCTGCCCGCCATGTCCCGCCGCCAACAGCGACGCGTGATGGAGGCCATGTCGCTACTCCTGTGGCAGCTGGCATATGGGTTGCTGCTAGGAGCAGCTGGACCCTGCTCCCCGCGCTGTGGGTGAGTTGAACCGGGCGCTGGTGGCGAACCAGCGTCCGGTGATCTTAGCCGCTTGCGTGGCTGTGCTGCGGGCGTTGGAGAGTCATGCTGGGGTCCTTGCGCCATCGGCTCTGGGGCTGTGGTAGCCAGGCGGTTGGCTGATTGGTCAGCCACCTGCCGCTGGGCGCTGTGGGCAGCGCTGTAGCCATAGGTGCTGGCTAGCTAGGCTCCTCCCTTTGGAGGCATGTGTGTACTCCGTGTTGTCAGTTCTGATGCAGGATTTGCGTGTCTACCCGTCCCCTCCCCTGCCCTGCACCTTCTGC